TTTTGCTTCTTATGAGATATCAGTGCTGTATGTTCTTGTTGTCAGTGGCCTCAGGCAACTGAAGTCCAGTAAAATTTGTAATCACTATCTAAATTGTGTTGGCTTAGGCCAAGAGGGTCAGAGCTAATGTTAGTAACACCCTTGGATCTGGTTGTGACTACATGTATACTTTGGGTCTGATTGTGCATTTAGAGAAAACAATCATCTCTGTAAGAGAACATAGTCTGGATGTACATGGGGGTGATCCAGGAATTGTCAGCAGGAGCAGAATACATGAAAACTGCTCAGAATGTTTCTAACACTGATTCCTCTGAAAACATTTCAAATGCAAGAACACCATTACAGCACCAGGATGCTGATCTCCATTAGCATAAGCTCAGACAACTTCTCAGAAGCTGAGAGAAGGAGGCACTGTCTGCTGCAGACACACACACAAACAGACACATGGATCACTAAGCCACGGCCAGAGTTAGTTGGGACCATGTAGTGCATGTTTAATACTTGACAGAAGTATGGCTTCTCTGAAGGACCACAGGAGGACTGCAGAGGCACATGGTCTTAGTAACAAAACTGAGGGTTAGGTAGATTGTGCTCTGGTGCTGTTAAAAACCTGAACCTTTCAGCCTGGGAAGAGTTCTAATTTTGCAATAGCTTTCTTTTATTGCATGTATCAGGTTACATATGAGCTATGAACGTTCCTTCTCCTTTTTTTCCTCCTTGGTTGGTTGATTGGTTGGTTTTACAACTGAATTTAACCCTGTGCAGTAGCAATATCTTGTCAGGACACTTCTTTCATATAAATCACAGGAAAATGAGAGACATTACGCATTGATATGGACAGTTGATAGATAATTACTAGATAAGTGCTCATGCAAAACTCAGTCTTGAAACTCAGTCATGTTTTCTTTTGTACATCGCACTCAACCAGCCTGGATTTCTTCAGAGCCCGAGTAATACCAGAAAAAACAAAACAGTCCCCTACACCACAAAAGCAGCATTCTTACCTGCAAATTTACATGTTGCTTTTCATCAGCTCTAAGCTAAAATGCAGCTCAACTTGAAACTTAATTAGACTCAGTTGGAGAGGTGGTAGCTTGCAACAGCTTTTTATTCTTATGTGTTTCTGAAGGCACTTCCAGCAAGTAATAGGACAGTGGACATTTGGAAAACATCTATAAATCTGGGAAAATTCCACTTAAGTCTCAACATAAGCTGGACACTCATACCAGGCTTTCTTAAACTCTTCGGCCGTCTAAAGCAGCTGTATATTAAAACTGGAGCTGGACTGATCATTCAAAATTAATTTAGCCAGCACATTAATGAGCTACAGTTTCTTCTGCTGCTTGTGTGCAATCTGCTTCACTTTCCTTCCTTTAGCACTTCTACCATCAATCCTAGCCCACAGTTCTTCACTAAAGCTTTTAAGATCAGAAATTTGAGCAGCGCAGATCCTATTGCACAGTTGTGATCAGAGCCTGAGCCTTGAATCCTGATATACTACAGACCTTGGTTTGCTTAGGGCAGTGTGGTGGGTTGATCTCATCTGGCAGCTAAGCCCCCACCCAGACACTCCCTCACTCCCTGCCAAATGGGATGGGAGAAAGAATCAGAAGGGCAAAAATGAGAAAAACTTGTGGGTAAAGATAAAGACAGTCTAATAAGTGACGGAAAATGAAAGAAAACAAAAACAACCAAGTGATGCAAAGGCAGTCACTCACCACTTGCAGACTGATGCTCAGCCAGGTCATTAAGCAACACCTCCCGAAGTAAAATTCCCCCCAGTTTTATTGCTGTGTGACATTATTTGGTATGATGTCTTTGGTCAGTTTGGGTCAGCTGTCCCAGCTGTGTTGCCTCTCAACCCTCTTCCCCAACCCTAGCCTACTTGCTACCTAGCAGGGTGAGAGATGAAGGCCTTGACACTGCGCAGGCACAGCAATAACTAAAACATTGTGGTGTGTTATCAACACCATTTTGTTCACCAGTCTAAAACACAGGACATTACAGGCTGTTATGAAGAAAATAAACTCCACCTGAATCAGACCCTCTTCAGGCAGATAAAAATGGTTCATGGAGCTACTAGCTCTAGAGACTGCCAGTCCAGTACTGCTGGAATTGCATGCAACAAAAACTAATCCTTGGCTTTCTCTCTGTTCAAAACATTCAGTCTTCACTAAAAGTTTGGGAAGCTGTGGCAGGGAAATGAAGTAAGCTATCCCAAGCCACTCCTAGAAGCAGAAGAAGGGATTAGCACTCAGGGCTGCTGCTTGTCTTGAACCACCAGTCTCCATTCATCTATTTTCCTGTTGCATTGCCGGATAATCAAAACCTTTGAATTCAGTTTTCCATCTCTTTACTGTTAAATTACTACCTCGTCATGTTGTAACCTGAGGTTCCAAGCACTGATGACTTTTGTTGTTATCTTATGGTACTCACCGGTACAGAGAGAAGATGAACACAAAATACCTGGAAATCACATAAGCAGCAACATAAGGACTGCAAGACTTCTCCAGCCCAACTAAAACGAGATACATTTTTTCTCAGTGGAACACAGATCTCCTTCATGAGGCAAGGGGTGGTGCTTGTTTGAATTTTTATTTTGGGTCTTTTTGATGTGTTTTTTTTTTTTTTTTAATAGCCTTAGTTGGCTCTTTAAAAGCCAGTAGTAGTTCTAGCCCCAAGTTTCCTGTTCTGAATCTAATTTTTTCCAAGGCACAAGAAATGACTTACCTGTAGATCATAAAGACTGTCAAAAAGCTCAACAGCCAGGATTAGAATCATATTTTCTACTTTATCTTATTTTCTTCCAAGGCAGTGCAAAATGTTACCAAAAAGCATTACTACCAAATGACATTAGGGCTTAAAAAGTATTGGCATGGGAGCCCATCTAGATACCTATCCGTCACATTTATCTGTTCACAGCATGAAAATAAAGGCCTACACAAGGAACAAATACAAAGCAAAAAGCTGTCTTCAGTCTATTTTAATAAGTGAAATAAACCTAAAGGTATGCATTGGATTTCAGCAGCAGTTAACCTTTTCCCTGACATGATGCAAGGTATCTGCAGGGATATTAAGCAGATTTGCTAAATGCCATAGTGGGGCTCACTCTGGAGACTGCCAGAGCATTGCCAGCTTATATAAACCTTCCCAGGAGTTAGGCTGATAGTCTCAGGCTTCTCCGAAAACATTGCTGATCCATAGGGATAATCTCATTTCTTGGACCATGAAATAAGTTGTAGCCTAAGGGTTACAGCTGATATATGTGTGAGACACAATCACCAGCTTGCCAAGTGGCTGCTTTACCCAGGTCTGTTAGGTGGCTTTTGGGTCTGCAAGAGACTCAGCTGAACTTAGTTGCTACTTTCTAGTAGGGGACACCATTCCTGATGTCATCCTCCCCACTGCCTGCCTTCCATTGCCCCCAAACATGTTCACAGTGATCACCTTAGTGCATGTTTTGGAATAGGAGGGATTTGATACAGCATTTGTGTTTCACAAAAGGCAAGAGAGCTGAAAAGCTGGTCAAACGATTCCTTCCTAGAATACATCCCTGCAGGTCCCATGGGTCCCTGTGCTCAAGCACACACACACAAGTCGTGAGGTAGCTGTTTTTGCTAAGGCAAAGAGCATTACCTGTTTAGAGAGCTTTGGCTGTCAGTAGAACAGGCATTTTCAGCTTTGTTGCAAAACAGTAGAGCTAGATAGGTCTGAGGTCCTGCTCAGTGTACCTGGCAGGTGCTGGACTTCAAAACTAACGCCAAGATTTTCAGAATCGAAGTGCCAGCAGCTGGGCAGTCCCAGGCTGTAGGCACTGTACAGGTGTGAACCTGTTAAGCCTCAAGCTCCTGGAAAGTGCTTTCCCTTGTAAGCACTAGACTGGGAATTACTACCACTTGCCTGACACCACTGTTGTGAGAAGTAGGTGTGGTATTTCCCTGTTCAATCAAATAGAAGAAGCCCAAGGTCACTGCCCTTCTTTTTGAAATGGGTCCACTCCATTTTAAGTGCTTCCCTTTGTCTCCTTTGCAAAGTGGTGGCATGGAAACAGTGCCACCTCCCACCATGAAATGACAGCTTGCTCCAGCCCTTTCATAACAGAGGCCCTTGAGGAGTACACCAAGGGAGCTTGATGAGGTTAGTAATCACTGCAGCACATGAAATGCATGTTGCACTTCGACCTTTTGTACATAAAGAGCTACACTGGTTCTACCTCTAAAGCCGGGGAGATTTACACATATGGCTTTCTCCCAGCACTGAGGGAGGAGAAACTGAGGCAGTAAAATCCTGAAAGCCAGCAATTTATTCAAGGGATGCTGAGAGCGCTTGAAGGCTTAAAGCTTATGGTGTTTTACCTACAGTTTGCAGCAAAGGAAAAAAAGGATAGGATTTTCATTAAACCCTAGTATTTTTAGAGACACAAACTATACTTTTCTTTTTCAAGTCGCACTGACAGTCCTGCGAAAGTTCTCTGAGTTTTTACTTCACAAGAGCTGTGTGCACAGCTCTTGGAGATCCACTGCCTCTTATCTGTTGCTGTAGTGGCAGCTGCCCTGAAAGACAGGCTAGAAACAACCTTCCAGTCTTCTATGCCTAAGACCCTTTCTGAGGTCGTCTGTCCTATTGTCCTTTGGCAGTCACACCTCACTCCCACATACTGATAGCACCTGCCACGACCTCTGGTTAACGACTTACCTCCAAAAGCTGAAGAAATAATTTCTGCCAGGTCTGCCTATGTTAAATGACTTTGAGAGAGAGGTATGTCATGACACAGACTTCCCTGCTCACAGTGTGATTGGGGAATCCCAAACCTTTTCTTCAGTACCTCATATCTTGGACTACAAGATACCTGGGAAGCAAAACCAGGTAATATCCCTTTTCCTTTCTCAGAGCAGTTTCTAATTTTAATTACCTTCACCATCGCTTCGGTAGTAGCACTTCATGGCAGTCCCCTCTTCTGTAGTTTGGAAATTGAGAAACAGAAATATGACACAATTACCTTCAATTACCAAAAATATTACTTTTATGGAATAAAAGTGAAAATTTGATTTAGTCCAGATCTGAAGCAGTGAGAGAGACACAGAGAGATTATAGGGGAGTTTTCAGCGACCCATGGCCTCCAGAGAGAAGAAATAATCATGTTACTGCGTTTCCTCCCAGCTTCACAGCAGTTTATATCCTTTAATCTCACACACTGAATCCTCTGTTTGCTTGGGCTTTGGAGATTCAACAAGCCCCATATGCAGTTAGCACAAAGCAGGATTCCCCCACTACCTGCTGTTTTGATCCTGGCCACAGACATAAATGACTGCTCTGCCTCTGTATACACAACATGTACGTGGATTAGGTACAAATTCAAACGTGCAACACGGCTCCCTCCACCCATGCTGTCTGCAGAGACAAAAACATCCACAGCAGTAAAAAGTGCAAAGATAATTCAGTGTTTTCCACTTGATCCCTGGAGAGGTTTCTTGGCATCCCTTGGCACATCCCACCTTGTGCACCCACCTCAACCCTCAAAAGCTATTGAGATGCTTGCTTTGCTCAGTCCAATTTTCCTTTTGGTCTTCAAGGCTCTTCTACCTGCATTTTCAGGTGGATAACCAATACTGTGCACACTGAAGTTCTATATAGCCCATAGCAGGAGCCCCAGCATCCCTTTAAAACATTTCAAGCTTGGTTTTTTGCCATCCCTTCTCTCTAAATGCATGACTGCCAACAGGCCAATACCAGCTGCATGCCTTAGAGTCAAAATGCGTTGTTCAACTTGGACTGCTGTGTCCCATTTTTATTTGAACGATTCTTCTTCTGCCCCACAGCACACAAGGACCCCCAGTGGTTTTGCATTTGAGCTCCAGCTGGTGCATCTTGGCTGCGTGTAGCAACGTCTCAGTGCCCGTCCCTGCCGTGCACCTCCTCCAGCAAGTCAAGACATCACCATGTCCCAGCGCTGACTCATGGCTATGCTCTCACAAGGGTTGATGACAAGCTCTTTAATACTTTCATTCGTGTCCCCAATCGTCTCAGTGTCCAAACAGAAGCGTGAGGCTATGTGTTCAATGTGTGACCCAACTTTACCCCATCGCTGAGGAGAGAGACACACGAGAGGAAAAACAGATGAACAAGCTTCCACCCCATTATATTTTTACTATACTGTTCCAGCATCAAAAGGACAGTTGTCACCAAGCCTCTGTGGCCTGATGCTGGGAAGCACAAGGTCCCCAAACCCACACCAAGCCGAGCACACGCTGAGCATTTTTCCCATCAGAAGCACACTCATTTAAGCTCGGCCTCTGCCTGGCTTCAGGAAGATAATATATTACTAACAGCTTTTTCCCCAGGTCACTGGTTCAAATGCCAGCTCAGTGATTAACTGCAGAGAAACGTTAGCATCTGCTGCCTGACTGGCAGCCCGTGTGAACTAAATTGCCAGTTTGGGTTTGACTTCTGCAGATAAGTATCCAGATCACCACCCTCACTAATAGACATCCTTATCAACACACTCATTTAAGAGGCAAAGGGCTGAACAGGCCAGAGTCTGTACTCCTGAATAGACTGTGCTTCCCAGATGAAGTCAGAACACACGGGCCATTTACTGTGCAGTAATACTATGATGAAAGAAAGGGAATCTCAAAGAAAATGGGGGATCAGTGACAGGGCTCACCTGCTTGTTGTCACCTTCTTTACAAGGTGACAGCAGCACCTGGGAACCAGGGAAGAGCGTGTACACAGACAAACACAGCTGCTGCTGGCGGACTTGGTGGTTGTACGTGTATGTCCATTCCTGCAGAGAGGAAGAAAAAAAACGAGGTGAGAGATCAGTGTTGACTCTTGGTATTCTTCTACTCAGAAAACCAACACTTTGGCTTGGATCCTGCCCCTTCTGAAGGCAAGCACAAACATCATTGACTTTAAGAGTCACCAGGACAGGTCACTGTTTCAAGCCTCCCCAAAACTGCAGCTGTTATTGGGGGACTGCAAGTGCCAAAGAAAATGTCTACAAAAGCACTTGGAAGAAAATGGTTCATGAGACAAAAGATTCCATAGCTAGAACTGGGCTGTGGTTGGGGGGAAAAAAGGATAGGAAAAAAGCAAAAGAGAGGCAGAAATACTATAACCACACAATGTGGAATCCTGTTTTTCCAGGGAAGAGCAGCAGAAATGTTTTGCAGCTGGTGGTGGGAGAGGTGATACAAAGCAAATGTTTGCAACTCCTAGGATTCTGTTCCCAAATATAACAAAAATCAGGGATAAAGCTCAGCTTTCTATCAAGGCAGCAGGAGCAAATTCCAAAGGTTTGCTGTACTGGTTTGCGATGATCACTGCTACTTCTGTTCCTCTGGGCTGTCTTGAAGGTTTTTTCCTCATACTGCTTTTCACATTCACCTTCTCTTACGAGCTTCTCAGCCTAAGAAATAAACTTTGGAGGAGCAGAGACTTTGTCCAGTGTAATGCTTACCAAAGAATAGGGGCTCTCTGGGATTACCCTCTTTTTCACTACTGGATGTTTTACTTGGGAAAAAAGAGAAGTAGCTGATAGTTTGACCAGGATTTCTAAATGTGCACAACAAAGCATCAGGCATGTACAGATACAAAGCCCAGGAGTACTTCACAGAAGTTTACTCCAACGTTTATTCCAGTTGAACTTTCCTATCATTTACCAGTGTTCACATTACCCAAAAGCAGCTCCTGAGAGGATCCCAAGCAAGGGATGACTCCTTGCTATTTGTGTGTGTACACAGATAGACAAGAGCTGGTTTGGCTGATGGGAAACTGCAAACCAGGCTTTCACATAACTCTGGAGGGAGAATTCTGGAACAATTGTTTTGCTTATAACTTTGTGTGAGTATCAACTTTAAAATTAGAAAGAGCGGGGCTGGAAGGGTTTTCTGAGAGCCCCTAGCCAGGGTGCAAAGCAGGATCAACTCCTGCTATGTAAATGGCTCTGAGCAGTCAGGTGAGCAGCAGTGGGTGCAAATGGAAAGCAGGATTCTGAACTGTGGCAGGGCAGGTGAGCAGGACTGGAGGACAAAGAGCAGGCTGGCTTCACTATCAGAGGGCAATAACCCTGCTGGAGAGATAAGGCCAGGGAGCAAGAGGGTTTCTGCAACAGCCCCCAGTAGCCAAGGCAGATGCTTTGACACAGTACAGGCTATGAAAACTCAAAACCTGCTGTGAAAGGAAAGGTGCAGAGAGAAAGCAAAACAGTTCAGAGCTCAGATATGGAGAGCCAAAGCTCCATGAGAAGTGATGTGAGCAGTGGTGTTGGCAATGGAGGGGAAGGCAGAGCTCAAACATATGGCTATTAGGCTGAGGCTGGAAAAATGAAGGGTAAAAGGTGCTCCTGGGAGACTTCAACCCTTTCTAAGTGCTGGAGGGGAATGTGAAGAATGGCTGCCTTGCTCTCAGAGCTGGGATGCCTGCAGCTCCCCCGACTTTGAATGGTGGAGGTTTTTTGTTGCACGAGCATGAATTATTAGAGCAGGGAAACGCTTCCACTCCTTTGGTATTTGTCACCGTCAGCAGCTCTAACTCCTCTCCTCAACTTCAAAACAGACAGCTACAGGCATTTAACTCCTGGGAACATAAATCCCACTTTGATTCAGGTTCTTAGCCACCTAGAAGGGAAAACATGCTTTTGCACAGCAGACCCAGCTCCACAAGGACTTCACACTGTGATCCTCATACCCCGTGCTTCTTAGCCCACTACTCCCCACCAGCTCATGGAAATCAAACCTGGCTTTCTGAACAGCCTGCCCACAGGCTTCTCAGTGAGCGCTGCCCAGGATTTGGGCACATAACAAGCATTCATTTTCAAAGCTGTAATCTGCGCCCAAAGGGCCTTCTGGCAACTAGTTCTTCTTTGTCATATGGAGCAGAGTTTACCTGATCCTACAGTGAACATATTCCAGACATCCCAACCATGCACGCTGTCAGCTGCTGTGTGTAAACCACCAGCCTGGGAAATCAGGTGCCAAATTACTCCTGCATCTGTGAAGAACCAAACCCTACGGGGCAAGCTCCAACATCTGTTCTTGGTGCCCACACTACTACAAGCTGCTTTGAAAACCTGCTTTACATTTTTAACCAGTTGTTAGTCATTCTACCTCAGGACAGGGCTGGAGCTGAATCCATGACGCTCCTCAGCAGCAGCTAGTTAATCCTGGACTTGTTGGATCCCCCAACTAACTCAGGCCATGGGACTTTTTTTTTTCCTTTGATGTCTTAGCCTCCTTGCTTCACTGAGGTACCTCACGGAGGACTGCTCCTCACAAAGGTCCTCCACGCTTTTTTTCCAGGCCAGGCTCTGTTCAAGCCTTCTCAATATTCACATCATCTCAAGGCAGGACCATTCTCTCATTCAGCAATGGTCCATGGGATAGAAAGGGTGGTGGTAACCATCTTTCCTAAGCTTTGTTCATCATAACAAGTGAGGAGTCCAGAGCTAGATGTATGCATTGGTTCGACAGCTGACATTGGATCCTACCCTCTTGCCCCTAGGCTGTCCTTCTACTGTCTTTATCTCAACTGACAGATATTCACACAGCTCATCTATTTTGGCAGAATGGCTCTTTATGAAAGCCAGTCCTGTTGAAAATGTTTTATCCAGCTCTAATCATGTCTTGTCCCCTCTTAGCCCTAGATGAAAGCCAGAGAAAATGATGCAGAAAATTAAGAAATCTGGGGGGGATAGGGGGGGAGTCAGTTGAACACCACAGAATCCATGAAGGGCTTTGAGTTCAAATGCATGCAAATGGCCATGTAAATTTTTATCTTACCTCATATCTTTCCTTATTTGTAGCAGTTGGGATTAAAATTTCTGCCTTTTTCTTCTTTTCCATTAGAAACTACTTTATCTCCTAAACCCTGGCACCCCTAGCACTGACATGGCCAGCACAGCAGTAACAACAACAGAGCTTCACACCATGGAGATTGTGGTGGACAGTGTAGCCCATGGTACTCCTAAGGAGATTTTCAAGGAGCTAGCATAGCTTCAGGGCTGCAGACTGGCCTGAAGAGATGCCATCAGGGCTTAGACCTGATCCCAGCACTAGTGAAAAACAGATATACGAGGTGAAACTGAGATCAAGATTTCCTGCCTTTTCGAAGACAAACACAAGTGGTGGTGGAGTAAGGAGGAAGAGGGTGGGCTTGGAGAACAGAGCTACCAGCTGCATACCACCACCAGCAATCCCCCTCTTCCAAAGCCTCAGATAACACTAACCCCCCATCTGAGGCTTGTGACTATTTTTCAAGGCTTTAGCATCATTTGAGCAGGCACCTGTCACTGTTACTCAGCATGATTATGAATTGAGGAAATTATTTTAAAATGTGACCTTCGGCTTGGCATAGCCTGGCTGACAGATGGAGGAAGGAGCCCCTCAGCCTAGGGAGAAGCAGTCCCACGGGAACCCAGCATTACGTGACAGAGAGGCCTCTGCTACTGAGTAAGAGGTCAGCTGTACCCTAAAGCCAAGGTAGTAGCTAGAGAAAAATGTTTCTGAAGAAGCTGGGAAAAATCTAATTCCCCAATTATCTTTTTAAAATCAGAGGGAAGGACTTCCCAAGGCACGTGACTGCATGGGTCACCTAAGAATACCAAAGTGCTCCTCTCATCAAAAGACCCTGGGATGCAACTGGCACTTACACACATCTCAGGAGAGGGAAAGCGAAGTACACAAGGTGCCACTGCTACCCCTCTGCTCTGCTAGCTCAGCCTGCCTCCTGCAGCTCTGGCCAGCCTACAGCTGGGGCAGGATGTGTTCATGAAGGGGAACGAAGGCTTTTGAGGGGAGGAAGGTCAGAAGAGAATGTTTATGGCTGAGTTGTCTCAGGAGGCACATTTAGTCAGCAAACAGAGGACCTCAAGCAAACTGGGGTGAGCATCAAAGCTGTATCAGGCAGATTATCAGATTGCATTTCCTTCACAGGAAGAGTCAAGGACATGCCACTCAAATGCAGTGGCAGCCACTCAGCTCCAAACACCAGATATTTTGGGGTGCAGGCCCAGGAAATGGATGCCACAGCCTTCTTACTGTTTCCTTGCTTGTCTAGAAGATGCCTGAACTTTACATTCATCTTGCATAGACTGCTTACATGTGTGTGAGTATCCAGGTCAAAGCACCTTCTGCTTTTTTTATCTGAAGTATGTCAGGTTTCCTGAAGCTGTTAATGATTTAAAGTCTGTTCCAAACTCTGTGAACTAATATCAACTGACACTTGACTTGGAAAAAACCCCCAACTACTCACATCTTCATTAGATAGATGAGGACAAAATTATGATCAATTATTTTCCCTCAGATGCATTTCTCTTGTGAAAAACTAAATCAATCTCTTCATTTAGCAAATGAGACGCAACAAAGCATAGAGTACAAGGGCTCCAGTGGGCAGGAGTGCAGGCAGAGCCCACTGTGCCCTGGGGATGGCACTGCACAAAGATCTCTGCCAGTCAATAACTCAAGAGCCCTCTGAGAGCCATCTCAAGAGACAGAGCCTACTCTGACCACTGTCAGACCTTTTGGAACAGAAAGGGCCAAACGGATCCCCAGGATGGCAGAACAGAGCTCTCCTACACAAAGATGAGGGGTCTTTTTGTGCCTCAGTGCCCTTTTTTGTAATTCAAGGCCAACACCGGACACCACCAGGGAGGGTCTGTGAGACCTGCTAAGGGTGTAAATCTGATTTCACCACAGAGTATTCATCTCAATTTATCCAAACTATGGATGTAGCCAGAGGTCTCACAACATTCTTCCCCTGCACTACAGATAGAAAGAACTAAAATAAAGAGCAACTCATTGCCATCTCACAGCTCCTTTGCCTCTCTCTTTAAACCATGATAATGTATGATAGCTCAGATCTTCTCACACCCAGTCCCAGGACTTCATGCATGAAATGTTGCTAAAGGGCTGGGGGAGCCTAGCAATGAGACAGATACAGAAAGGCAATCAGAGCAACCAAATTACTGCCCTGTAATAGTGATAATAAAGAATTTGGATGGCCAGGATATTTCCATGGTACTTACTGAATGCCAGGAAAGCACAGCTTTGATTCAACTAAACCTATTTTTCAAATAATGAAGCTTAGGGCAAGCAAGATGTGACTTCAATATGTTAAAAGTGAAGATTATTGCTCTATTATGGTATATCAAATGCAAAACTAAGTAGCAGTCAGGACTGCTGCATAATCGATCCTACACAGCCTGGTCACTATAACACCCATGTCATTCACAAGTTCAGGTGGTCTTGTAACAATTGTGTCATTAAAATATGTTTCTATTCACAATGAAAGTTTAAATATCACGCTTTAATCTGAAATAGTCTCTGTGGGTACAAGTAACAGAGAATTATCCTAGAAAGACAGAAAGATAAAAGGAAAAGGTTTTTCTTTGTTCCTGTTGTGTACTGAGTATAGGCATTCTGCAATCTGTTTGTAGTGTATTTTTCTGTTCCCTTGCAGAGTTAGTCCTGGATGTGCACAAGAAATGGAGCTGCCATCCAGCAGGAAGTGTTGACCTATTGCAAACTGCTGCAGAATCAGAATGGGAAGCTGAAAAGTTTGTGCCATGAAAAATTCCAAAAATTTACTGCATAGAAATGTCAAAACAAAATGTGTTTGCTGGGAATGAAACAATCCAACTTGTTGGCATGACATTTCTCATTTTAAAATACCACATCAAACTGATATTTCAGAAAGACCAAAACCATTTCATTTTGAAACGCTAGCTTGCAGCAGCATTTTTCATTCTGATTTTCCCAGATTTTTTTTAAAAAAACATCCAATTCATTGAAAGTTGCAATTGTCACTGAAACATTTTTCTTTTCTTCTGCAGAGCTGGCCCTGCAAAACATGATGACCTCCTCTCATTAGCTTGCTTTTCTTGCTGTTTATGTGAAAAGTCCACGTAGCAGAGGAAGAAATAAAAACAATCCTAGAACCTGGAAACCAGTGAAACAGTAAGAAGTGTAACTGTGCGACACTCACAATTATATTCATTATATTTTCTGAACTGACTAATATTCGAGTAATCATTGTTGATTTTACTATGCTGTGAAACAGATATTATTTTCCTGCCTAAAGACAGGCATGCAACTGCATTTGAAAGAGATGCACATAATGACAAGCTTCCTTTGCACATACAAATCAGTCTCCCCAGGCTGGGCCTTTTATATGCACAGCTACCTGGCTTGAATGTGTAACCACAAGGGTTAAGAATGTACAGTCAAGCGGAAGCAAGCACACCATTGCCTATTAAATTATTTCACAGCAACAGTGGAGAAGCAAGTGATTGTTATCTTCCCTGTTTTATAGATGGGAACAGTGAGAGAACTTACTGACATGCCCAAAATCACAAAGGGAGGCTGAAGGAAAGGCAGGTTTTGTAGCTGTGTCTTCAGAGTCTTGCTCCAGAAACTCTGCTGCAACAAGGCACATGAGCCTACTCTTGGCTCTGATGTTTCCTGGGCTGTGATTTTGAAAACACCAATTCATACAGCTTTTTCTCATCTCAGTGAGATTGAAAAAAACGAGATCGTCCTCATTAAATTCTCACTAGTTTAATGGGCAATCTAATACTGAGAGAATGCAGGCTATGAAGTTATAAATACCATTGTGATTCAGTGCATTCTGAAAGAGAAAAGGCTGAAAGATGAGAGGAAATTATAGTTCTCTTTGTCTTTGAGCTGCGCAGATGAGCAGCGTGTGGTGTTTCTGGCACTAAGTGGTCAGCAGAGGCTGGCACAGAGATGAGTGGTCCACACTGCACTGTGGCTCCTGCACCAATCCCTGCCGCTGCCCAGGGCTTCCACCTAAGTCAGGTGGAGTTACCAGGGTTTAACTACATGCTATCTAAGGAAAGGGTCTGTCAGAACAGGTAAATCCTCCAACGGAGCTTTAGCAAACTAAAGAAATTATCTTGAAGCTGACCCAGAGGCTTCTCTGCATCCAGCATCATCGGGATACACAACAGATCTTACCTGTGCCTTTGGTACTGTACCCTTGCTGCTGTTACAAGGATTTAAGCTCAGGATGGGGAGCTCTTGGTCTTCAGACTTGTGTGACTCCAGGCAGCTCTGTCTTTGCCTGATCATCCCAGTCTGATAGAGCGACTCCTCGGGAATCCTGTGGGAACAGCATTCGAACAACATCCATACTCCCCTAGGCCCACGGAGTACTCAAAGGAGGCTCAGTGGGGTAAGGTCACACCATTTCACCTTCACAAAATGGGAGTGGCAAGATCTATTACAACACGGAACCACTGAGAGCAGTACACGGACAGGGACGCTGCAGAAGCAGCGCTCGGAGATGGATGGCTGACCTTTACAAGAGGAAAAAATAAATAACAGTGCACAAGGCAAACAGAGGAGCAAGGAATAGACTTTGAGCAGGCTGAAGGTCAGCCTTCAGCTTACAAGAGTGGGGAACTTTATAACACACTGTCACAGAGCCCTGGCGTTCCCTGTGAATGCTGCTGTGCAATGCCACGCACAGCAAAAAAACCCAAGAAAACAGCTATAAATCACCATTTTCACACAGTGATTCCGCACTTGGCCATTGCACCAGCAGGGTGCCTGGCAGTACCTCCAGAACTTTTCCACCCTTTCTGAGGATGGCTCCTGATAGGAGAATGAACGCAACGGTTTCTAGAATAATTTTGGTAACTAAAAAATATCTGTGCAAAAGCAACTGTGGAAGGGGATATTAAGCAAAGCAAGGCAGAGCTATCTGAATACAAGTCATAAAATCCTAGAGTGGATGGTTTCACAACAGGGAAGTCTTGAGTACCACAGAACAGTGTGAAAGGACTGGAAATTAGGTGCTTCTTTAGTAAGCAAGAGTCATTAAGTACTGAAACAGCCCAGCAGAGGCTATGGTGGATTTTCTGCCTTGGGATACTTTTGAGAGGAAAACTAGCTATTTCCCTATGCAACCTGTCCCACAGCATGGGCAGGAGGACACCTAATGAATCCCTGAGAGCAAATGGGAATAACTGGTGTTTTGTCCCTCATTAATCCCACAGCGAAGAGCTGCAAGGTCTATAAGATTGTTTAGAGAAAGCAGGATCACAAATCATAGGATCATAGAATAGCCTGAATTGGAAGGGACCCACAAGGATACCTGAAGACCAACTCCTGGCCCTGCGGCATGGCACACTGTACTTGAAGTCAGCACAAAATTTACTCTGCCCTTCTGTGAAGCCCAAGGGAGGGGGTGCCTGAGTCTCTGGGGCAGGGGGACATGGGGGGACTGGAGATGAAGAGGGAAGCTCTGTGGGGCAGGAGGGATAAGGCATCCCCCTGGCCTGCTAGAGACAGGTGGAGATGGCACATCCATACCGAAGTTCGGGATAAACATTTTCCAGGTACCACTTGAAGCTGTGGCATTTCAACTTCTTCCGCAGCTCCACTCTGCTCTGGACACTGTAGGAAGAAATTATCATAGAGATGCAATGGAAATGAGTAAAGTGAGACCCAACACACCAAAAAGGGAGGCTGATAGAAATCCAGCAGATATGCACAGACAGCAAACACAAGAGCATCAGCAGCTCTATTTTCTGCTTTCTTCTGTATGAGCTTGAGAGGTTGTTTTGATCCCCATCTCTTTGGAGGTCTCACTTGGTAGAATGGCATGACGACATATTGCCATTTTAACAAGGAGTCTGAAGTTGGGCACATAAATAGATCAACAGAAAAGTACAGTCATTTAAAAATTATCAGTAAAAAAAATGTATGCTGTCTACTATATGCAATAAGCATTACTTTAATATATTAACGTACAAGGAAATTAATATATGCTATTCACTATACTAAGTTACTCTTAGTTTATAGGACTACAGGAGGCCTTGATTTCCAACAGCACCTAAACACATTTTTAAGTCAGCAGAAGTTAATCTCACAGTGAAATACTTTTTTCTTTCATTAATCATGACAAAATTTCTGCTGAGGGATTAGGCAGTACAGTGACATTTTCCAAACTCCAGCTCCTCCCTAGGCCAGCCTGTGGAGCTGTTATGAGCTGGCATTTACAGAGTACTTGGAAGCCTCCAGTACCTTCCTTTTGCATAGGGTAACTTCTCCACACCCTCCTATAAAAAGGAGGACAGAGATGTTACTTCATTTGGTGCCAATAAATGGGAGTAGGATATTAATTCAGTGAAAACAGGTTAGTCAGCAGGACTTTAATTTATTTATTCTGGAGACTGAAGATTAGCTACAAGGAATTTGGGTTTGGATTTGGAACCACCTGTGGTCCACAGGAAACTTTCTAAGGCAAGGAGGACCATATGAAAATGAGAAATATAACACAAATATTTTCAGTCCTCCTGACAGGGAGGTGTTTCTGACTGTTCACAGAATGAATGGCAAACTCCCTGCATACAAAGGACTTGCTCCTTTCCAATAAAGCATTAGCAGGCCAAAAAATTGATGATTTTCCTTCTCCTCAGCTGCCAACAACACCTCTGAACTCTCCCACCAAACTCCGCTCTGGGACCAGAAGTATTTGTACCTAATGCCAAGGGTGGGACATAGGCAAAGGTTTTCCCCCACCTGGGTTTGGTTCACTCTCTGGGATAAACCAGCACAGCATATAAACTGGCTGTTTATAGGTCTCATTGCTGTGCTCATAGCATCTGCCTACCATTAGCATTTAATTGAGCGTTACTACAGAAACAACGCAGGCGGGTTTCCGCAGCAGAGCGACGTCACCGTGAACACCCCACTGCAGCAGGCAGGGCACAGGAAGGGCACAGGCAGGGCACAGGCAGAGCAAGATCCTTACTTTCCATAAGGCCTCCCCTGGGCTGCGGGACGAGCTGCGTAGTAGTACTGCTTGAACTCATCCATCCACACCTCCGCAGTGCGCTTGGTGTTTCTGAAGGAGGCAGCAAAAGACAGATGAAACCAAGGAAGCCTCCAAGGTAACATTTTCCAAAATGTATTAACTGATCCATCCTGCTCTCCTCCTACCCTCAACTCGGTCTTTGGCATCACCCAAATCACCTTTGAGACAGCCCACTCCTTACTACTAGAGAAGGTACTCCTCCTCCTCATTACTCCAGGGACCAAACTCATCAGGCCAAATAAAGCTTGGGTGAAGAATTCACCATTTCAAACTCAGCTGGATTCTTTGTATCCACCATACTTGGAACTGAAGGTTCTTTTAAGCATCATCTCCCAGGCAGGAGTGCCTGGTGTTTTATTTAGTGGCTTGGATGGAGCTCAGAAAAGTGGTGAAAAATTTGCCAAAGATTTGCAAATATTTCCTTTGAGTCAATCCTGTATAGACTCTCCTGCATTGCACTCCTGGATTTCACTGAGGCAAACCTCAGCATTCAAAAAACTTAAGAGGAACCACCCCACCACAGTGCATAAATTTCAGTCTTTCACATCAGCCAGGTGTCTGCAGGTTTATGAACCTCAGCAAGTCTTCTGTTGACTTGAGATGGCTCTAACTCTTCTTGCAAATATCTTTTTTACTCCATGCCTATCTGCCTATCTCTGCCCAGGCCAGGGGAGTCCTCCAATCTCCTGTTCCAAGGCAGGCCGGTGCCTCTAAGCTTTTGCTATCACATCACTAAACTGCAGGTGCCGTGGGCAGGCTCTGGATCCAGCCAAGTCCCAGGAGGCCAGAAAAGGAGACAGTCAGCATGTGAAGCCAGCACTACACTGGAGTCCAAGCTCACTCTGAAGTACGGGCTGTGTGGAAAAAAAATCAGGATCTGGCAGAAGGGTGGAGACATTTTTTGCTAACATCTCTATTTAAACAGAAGTACTACATAGCATCAGGTTGCCAGAAGCTGCTTCTCCTCTGTGTCTATATACTATAATATTAAGTTTAAGGCTGATAGATACCATAGGGTTAACAACATCCAACCTCCTGATGTCTACAGGTACGTTTCTCCAGACTGCTTTTCAGTTCCTTGATGATTCATGGGCTTCTTCCCCTCTCTCTAAGGAAATAGTTTAAGTGCTCTTGTTCAAGAGATGACTGAATCAGTGTTTACATCTGTACCTAACCTTCCCCAAAGTGCAGAGTTCTTTTGTTTGGCTTCCTGATCTCATCTGGATTTACAAGAAACATGGGGATAAATGATGAGGCTCACACCTACATGATACAGGCATTCCCTAGGTCCCCAGAGGCCTGTGCCAGAGAAGCAGCCAGAAGAGCTGTACCCATTCAAGCTCTCCTTGCTCCTCCTGCAGGTGATGCAATGCAGACACTACCTTTTCACTCAAGTTTGCACTGATGTCGACAGCAGAGATTTTGCCACATCCCAGCCTCTTCTGTATGAATCTTACTTCAATACTAAAAGCAAGAGCCTTCCTCATGTCTCTCAAACTAGTGCTCTCCTCCTTGATTCCAGCAATGCCCTGTGCCCCTCAACACCGGCTATTCAAAGCAAGGCGACAAAGTCCGCTTCCTGCCCCACACACTGCATGGCTGGAAATCATGTAACTGAGAAGTGTAATTTGCACTCCCCCAGCTCGTTGTCTCACGTAAAAGATACGGAAGCTGCAGAGAGCCTGGGTCTTCACAAGTGCTGCTGGCTCTTTCTAACACTGGGAAGCCTGCACTAAAAGGAATGCCTGGTGTGTAAGCACTCACAACTGCAGGTTAGCTGAGAAACAACCCTGCATTTAGTATAAGTACCCCACGTGTTTGTCGTTTACTTAAGCAACAACGTTCCTTCGGCCTCACAGTCTAAAAACAGAGAACATCCTTCCTGACCTCGCTAGCTGCTAACATCAACTTTCCCATGCCTATTCTCACTTATGGATTGCCTTCTTCTTTGCCTGATGTCTTCAGGACCTTAGCCCATTTCAGCCAGCCATTTCAGTATCTGATTCAGTCTATGTTCCTGTGTTTGACGAGAGGTCCCCTTCAGCTGGGATGCCCTGGCAGTTCCTCCAGTGTATATGCCAGCAAGGTGCGCCCCATTGCTGCCTCTGCTCAAGAGACAGCACTAGTCCAGAGGCACAGTCACCCACTCCAGCAAGGTGTTTGGTTCCCCTCTTGGAGAGACTTTGGGAACCAAATTTTCCGGTTCAGCTGAGCCATGCTGAACACGCAGCTAAGGTCACTGGGTGCTGACAGACATTGCTGGCAGCCTGATTGCAGGTCATTATAAATGTGTTCTGATGACTAAAGGTCTAAACCATTTGCTGTTCCAGTAGCTAGTGGTCAGGGATGTGCTGGGGTCATTCTTCCATTTCTGTGCTGATGGAAGGTACCATACAAATGTCCTATTTTTGTCATTTTCTCGACACTGTAGAAATCCTGCAGGACAGTTGTACTAACATGCATGTTCTTTGGCTCAGGAAATTTCTGCCCAAGGATATTTCAGAGTTTTCTAAACAAACTTTCCTCTGTCTTCTCTCCTCCTCCCTCCCTACAAGACAGCTCCTCATTCTGTTTCACAAAAAAGAGCAAGTACAAACCACTTACTTAATGTATGTATTGGCATTTCCCTCTGGAAAGACGTATGGATGTTTCTTCCGGAAGACATGCCCAACACGGCTGCAGGGGATGATTTCCAGGCTCCCTCCGCACATCCACACACGGAAGGAGATTTCTACAAGAGAAGTAGCTTCAGCATTTTGTCTTTTTGTCCTAGAGCAGTCTGGATCCTAGTGTTAGCTCTCACTTCATCCCCTGCCACATTAAACTGGGCTAAATCAATTACCAGAGGGGCTCTCCTAGGCAAAACTGCCTTAAAAGTGTATTTCAAAGCTTCTTGCAAGCTGTTTGAAGTCAGTGCACTTGAAACCTGCCTCTAGCACAGCAGGTGCTATCACAATGGCAAGCATGAGACAGTAAGCAAGTCCCTTTGCATGCAGCCCCGCTTACATTGCAGAATTGTCTTGCCAGTTTTGTGCTCCCCTAATTACTTCTGCTCTGCCTATTTCAGAGTCACTTCCCTCCAAAGAGCTGTCAAGTTCACCACGAGAGGCTATGAGTTCTCTTTATGAATGACTACAACTGTCATTTTCTTTATGAATCCAGCATTGATTTTGCAAACTGAACAGGGAGCTGTGCATCCATTGCCTGCCCCAAGATGGACTGGAGCTTACCCTGCCCAGGTACTATGCCATCGGTGCCAATGTTGTGGTACAATATGGCACACACCCTCACACAAGCAAAGGTCAGTGGCGGGAGGGATTATCTCAAAAGTCTGGATAAGCTGTCAGTATGGGAAATGACTCCCAGTCACTCCAAGCCACTCACTGGCTGGCCCATGGGGCCTTTCTCAAAGAAAATGAGCCTGTGGCACAACTGATACCAGAAGTTACAGAGCTCTTGGCAGGGAGCTGGATGAGGTAGGACGGGTGAACAGAATGACTGATCTAATGGGCCCATCTGGTCCTAATATTTATGAAGTTATGACTCTGCAGCTCTATTGTCAGGAAGTCATGCTCAGACGAAACCAGCATGGAAAAGAAATGAAATTAAAATGAAAAGGTTTCTGCGGGTCTTTGAATCCTACTTTATCGACTGTTGACAGTATAGAGCTATAGGTAGCATGTATCTACTCCAAAACTAATAATTCATTTTCACCCCCCCATTTAACTACAGAGTTAAGACAGGAGGACACCCATCGTCTTTGTCAGCTTGTGCTCCCAGCAGTCCCCTCACATATGCCAAGGCAAGGATGACTTGTCCTCAGGTCGGATGCTGGCAAGACAAGCACCTGTGGCAGGCAGGCCAACTGGGCAGTGTGGACAGGACTCCTCCTCTTCCAACGGCAGGCACTGCTGGCCTACAAAGCTGCCATCCCTCCAAAAACAACTCACAGTTTCAGGGAGCAAAGGCGAATTGGAGTCTGGACCTCCAAAGCCTTCTCAGTAAACATGGCTCAGCCCCAAGTTGCATGTTGCTGCAGAGGTGGAAGCCAGGTTAATGTTGCTCCCATCCCACTCCCAACACACCCGCCTGCTCCTGAGCTGATAGAAATGAGAGGCTGACACAGCTGCAAAGCCTTGGTGTGCGGGCCCAAAACTCAAGGCTTGATCCCATCCCTAACAGCTGGCCCTGGGAGCAGGGGCAAACAATGGCAGCGGTGGGAAAGCACAGCAGGGAGGAGTATTCCTTCCCAGAAATTCCCTGCCCTTCCCTTTACTGCTGTGTTTACACGCAAGAGCTGCAACAGCAGCTGGAGCCTCACCACTTTCCCCAGTGCTGGGTATTAACAGGTCAATAAAACGCGCCTTTGTGCCATGTCCTGGTGCTGCATTGGGAGCAACCTTAATCACAGCTGCAGGGAAATGAGATTACGGCAGGATATGGCCACTCTAAGCTGCTGTGCTCAGTTCCCCTTGCATGTGGCTGTCGCTCTCATTTGTCCGCGTGTCACAGCGCCGGCCACTCTGCCAGTGCTGCCGTGTAAATTAGAAGGGTGCCCGATAAAAGGGGACAACCAGACAAGCAGCTGTGGATTGGACCACAGCGTGGCTACTCCATCATTCCTTCCCCTCCTCTGGTCCTTCTGCTCAGCCTGGGAGAGGCTGAGCAGAAAGGGAAAGGCTTGCACCACTCAGTCTTCACCTGGTCTTAATGTAAAGCCTAATGAAGACGTGACCTCTGTGCACTGCAGTCTGGAATAAGGACACAGTGCTGGGGAGGCATGAGATGGTGAGGACTCTGAGTTCCCTGCTTCAGACTAGTTGCACCCTGCAGACCCTGCTCTAGGCCCAGCAGAAACAATTAAAGCACAGGTTTCCTCCAGCAGGGATGACCCACGGAGTCATCCACGGCAGCTAACAAACAGGGTATCCAGACAGGCAGCCAAGAGCTAAGTGCCTCAAGAGAAGGTAAACTGAGGCACCAGCTAAAACATGGTACAGGGTCAACTCAGAGGAGCCAGGGTAGCAGGAAATGACAGTGTGCATCACTTGACCCTTGAGAGATGTTGCCAGTGCAAGTGGTCCCTTCAAGTGGCCCCAAGGAGGGATGTGAGCAATATGCATTGGGGTGCACTGGACTTGGCCTTCACTTGGCAAAATACCTTTAGCACTTCTTGCTCGCCTGCAAGTCCTTTCCGCCATTACTCATCTAGAGGGAATTAAGTACATTTAAGAAGCAAAACACCTACAATGTCCTTCTTCCAACACAAAGAGACTCATTTTTGTTTTGCCTAAAGTCTCCAGCCCCCTCTAGTTGCACAGTCAATAACATTAAAAGCAGCAGTGATACTCCTCAGGACCGGAGTCCTGCATCCCCTCAGGACTAAGCTACCAGGAAAAGCATGGTTCACTGCAAGCACCCAAAATGAGCAGATGCTTGGTCAGCTCCTGCTCTCCATCACCTGCCCAGAACTGACTGGGCCCAGGAGGGTCTCAGCTGCCCTTGCTTATGTGCAAAGGAGAGATGGGACACACTGCCTTCGACTGCAGTGCCTGCAGGAGATGCAGCTGTGAGCCAGGCACGCTGCTGCTCTCAGGGCGATGGGCAAGAGAGGATCTGCCCTGCTACTATGCAGACCTGCATTTTTTTGTTGCAAAGTTAACCTGCCTGGCTTTCCTTTGTCACACCAATGTCCTGGCACACCCTGCAGCACAGCCAGTGTACGTTCAGCTGGGACCAGCCTTCTGGGGCACAGTGAGGGAAATCTTGTGCTCTGCTCCGTAGGATGGGCCATAACCACATGTAAGGAGCACAATGCCTGCCATTACAGGGCATTGGACAAGCTGCCAGGATGGAGCTTCCCCCAAGAGCAGGCTGTCCTGTCACTGTTCATCTCCCAGGAGCGGCTCGGGCTGGCTGCTGTCAGAGGCGAATGACAAGCAGCGACAGCAGGTCAGACACAGCGTGACAGTCCTTCTTCCCCCCTCTTATTGTCTAGTTCCTTTCTTTGTTTGGGCCATTGATCCAGCGGGGGAGGCAGGAGGGCTGTCACTCCTCTCTTTGGTTTCCTTAGAGCCACCCCACTCAGACACTCTGGGTTAGTCTGGTGGCAAGATACCCACCCACAGAGAGAAAGCATGAGTGAGTGAGATCCTACTGCACAATAGGATATAACTAAATAAAATATATCTAGGTGGACAAGGCATGTGAAGCAAACAACAGTGCCAGGCAGCGAATGGATTACTGCAAGGTGGCAGCATCTGTTCCCTTGGATGACTGACAGCATTGCTGTATGTGTTAAGACACAAGATCCTTCCTTCCTGGCTAGCCATACTCCCCAGGGGTGCAAGCTATTAAAGCCAGGTTCTGATCTGCCTCACTGACATCGAATGCCTCCCTCTTCTTTCCTGGATACAGTGTATTACTCTAATCTACAGCATTGCTACAGCTTCAAAGAGAGAACAGCCCAACCTGATCCAGCTCCACCTGACAAGGAGGACAAGGGACAGGCTGTTACCTCTTTCATGTGCCCTCTCGAGTTTGCATGTAGGAGATTTCTTAATGTCTATCCTGTCCCGTGACAAGGGGCAGAGGTGACTGAATTTAGGTCAGCTCTTAACCTATTATTTTGGTGCAGGAAAAGTGAGTGTCATGGAGAACCTGGCAGCACTCAGCCAGTCAGTGACACAGGAATGGATAAGCAGTTGTGTTACTTTGCCACCTATTTGCAGCATGCCGAGGTAGCTACTGTTCCAGGTACTCTGCAAATTCAAGGAGGCACTGATGCCTCAGTTCACAGCTTCAAAATGCTGTTGGCAATGGAATAAGACACATCTTTGCTTTATTAAGGGGAAAATAAGATCAGGAAAGAACATGGGGGTAACACCAAAGCTGAAAACTCTGTGGTTTAGGGTATTTACCTACAGAACATCAAAGCAGCATGGAAGACAGGCAGTCCCGCGTCCCAGCAATTGCTCAATTCCCATCATTCCCATCAACAATATGGTTGTTGGATTCCTTACATTACTGAGACCATAACCTATGAATGTCAGTGAGGGAAACCATCCAGAGCATTCAAAGCAAAGTCCAAAATGACCTTGTATCCATCTGGCATGACTCAGAAAGAGAAACCAACACAGCAAAGCAGAGAATGAAGAAGAATGACTCACCGAAGTTCTCCCCACCCCAGATGTCCATGGCACTGTCATATTTCCCCAGGTGGTTGAACCAGGCTTTGTCAATCACAAACAGCCCTCCAGCAATGATGGGTGTCCTGCAGAATGGGTAAGGAAGAGAGGACACACTTTCAAACACTGGATGCACAGAAGCAGCCCTTCCCTTTGCCTCCTTTTCCATCATTGGGACATTACCTATATACTTCCTTCTCACAAAGTAAAAAAAAAAAGGACAATGTACTTCAAAATGCATCTGAGCCTTTCTTTCAGCTGCCTTGGTATTTTGCTGTCAGTCAGAAACTGCCTGGCACTTAATGACTGCCTAATGCACCCGTTAGTACAACTCCTACAAACCCAAAGTTCACAGTCCTGATTGTAGGCTTCAGCATCCAAAATGCACTTAGCACTTGGGGGGTTATTCACTCAGACCAGCTTTTTGCCTGGAGCCAGCCTATTAAGAGCACCATTCCACTGGGGAGAGGAAGGCAGAGCCAATTCAGAAAGGCTTTTTAAAAGCCATCACTAGCTGTGTGATCTTTATTTCAAAACAGGATTATTTTTCAGACTTTGGATTAGCTAAGAAAACTGCACAGAGAAGGTCCATGGAGGAGGGGAGGGCAGACCCAGAAGATAGCTTGAGGAGAATCGCTGTTTGCTGGCACAAGTCTCCTCCATGCCTCACAGCCCAGCGCTTCATGGCTGGGGCTGCAGACACCAGCACCAGGCTTGCTGCCAGGAGAGATTTTCAGCAGAGTGAAGAACTCCCTCCACCCCACAGCATGAGGACAGATGGCATCTCTCCTGTTCAGTTTTGCTCTCTCTCCTGCACACCCCATTTCTGAGGAGCCTCCAGTGAGGTTCAGAAGAGCAGGGCTGATCTGGAAGGACTGGCCTAGACATCGTGGGCCAAGGCCTTATTTTTAAGTGACAGCTGAGCTGAAAGAAGCAGTAGTCTACAGCACTGGGCTTTTTCCCTAACCATAACACCAAACCCTAACCATTACCAAAACACCAATAACCATAAATATATCCCTTCTACCTTTGTGGCACTCTCAGGCTTCAGTGCTGGGGGTGAAGCTGTACTGCAAAACCCAGGCTAGCCAGAAGCTTGCTATAGGTATTAGAAGTTCAGAGGTGTCCTGGAAGAAGCAACACACCACTATGGTGCATGGGGACACACATCAGGTCAGAGGAGAAGCCTGTCCTGCCCCACAGGTGCCTCCTACCCCTTCTTGACTTACTTAATGGGTTCGGTGGGATCAAGTCTTTTGGCTTTCTGCTCCGGGGAAAGCTGCTCCCATTTGAAATGCAAACTCCAGTCGAAACCTAAAACCAAAGCAGAGAAGTGCCATGGGGACATTAGAAATTGGTATGAATTGGGAGGCAATGCAGGATGCATAAGCTGTGTTTGATGAAGCATTTCCCCCACTTTGAAATGACTTTAGCCACACAGATGCAGCTCTTGGGAGAAGAGTCCAATCACTAACATATTTTACTACTATGTATGAACAAGAAACAACACATTGCATTACAATTGCAAAGTCAAGCACTCCAAAGGCAGAAAAAGTCAGAATTAAAGCTGCTGCCGAAACCTTGCTTAGTCTCCTTGTGCACACAGACACACACTCTGACGGATACTGCATGCTACAAATAGCACAGGCATACTAATAAGCGCTACAGTTGCATCCTTCATTTATTGCCTAGATATCCCCCATCTCCTCCTGTCACTTTCAGTGCTGCCCAGGATGGCTTTGACATGACCCTTCTTTCCTGCCTGACTGCCTTATCCACTGTAGCAAACACTATTGCTCACACCACACTCACCTGTCTCTAGAATAGCCTGGAAACAGCCAACGGGGAGCACTGAACAGTGCTAATGCACTTTTTTTGTGAGGTAGCAGGAGCCAGAGGTGTGGTGCAAAAGCCACCATGTCCTCAGACCAGCGCATGTTCACACCACAGCTAGACACCCACAGGGCACGCATGACGCTGGGACTTACCTCCTCTGAGGTCTGAGGAAGCCGCCACATAAGCAAAAGTGTCCAGGTTGATGATGTCAATAACGGGGCTGACCACTCGGGTGGGATCCTGGAAAGCAGGACCGAAAAGACCTATGACTTCAGATGACACCACTCAAACTGGTCAAGGGATTCTCCAAGTTGCTGCAGACATCAGATGGCTGGAAATGCTGGCGTCATTCAGGATTGTCAGGGACCAGTGCCCATCACTGCCTCCCCCTCCTCAGCCATCACATCAATTCAACCAAGGAATTAATGGCTGCAGCACCAAGTGGCAGAGGTACTGCTGGGAGCCAGGGGCATGTCAGTAAGAGAGGTTAGAAAGGCAGGCACCGTCTGTCCTGGGAAAGAGGGTTGTGTGCTGCTGGGCTGCTGAGCTGGCATCTCCAACCAACTTGGGTTTCACCCACAGTCTTGCCCTCCACAGGCTGGAGGGCTGGATGCAAAGCTCCTTCTGCCTTTTGCAAATTCACCAGTGTATTCCCCTTTCATCTCACTTTTAATCAGATTTCAGAAATCAAGTGACCAACAGGCAATTGAAATGACAGAGGAAAAACACAGTCACATAGCTTAAATACAGGTATTTTTTATAATGCGCAAACTATGGCAGTACAGTTAAGAGTTTTGCCAAAGGTGTGAAAGGGTTAAAAAAAGAAGACCTGATTTATTTAAAATAGCTGGTGGTGATTTAATTAACATCTTGTTATGGGCAAAGAGATTATACAAACAGTTATGAACAAAAATATCTACAGGAGGAAGAGACTCTGACAGCTTTGACTGGTCTCTTATCTCCCTTTTTCTTTTCGAAAATCCCAAACTCCAATTATAGCTCAAACTTCAAGGTTTTACCCTCACTAGATCAAATTGTTTTTCACAACCATACAAAGGAAAGCATCTGAGCACACACGGGCTTGCTCTCTCGATGGGAAAAGACTTTGTTTTAGAAATTAGTCCTGACAAAGGAGTATTCAAATGCAGCTGTAGGAAGAAGCAACCAAAGGCCATGAGCTGGGAGCTGGACTAGAGCCGATTTTCCAATCGAGCATGACAAATACTTGGTATTTCCATAACAAGGTCAAGTCACGGGTCTTACCATCACTTTCTGTGAGTCAAATATCTCATTGAAAGGGCAAGGTCTGCTCTATCTATGTATTGCATGGGGAAACTCAAGTCACATCCAAGCAGGATGAGCCTTTCAAACCCATCAAACCCATCGTGGCTGCTGCACAGTGCCCCCTAAGCTGCCACAGCCCAGTACAGCCAAGCATCCTGCAGTTGCTTGAGGGCAGGGGAAAGGTTTTAAGCAAAGCATCTGCTTTGTGTGCTGAACACGGCATGGAAAGGATCGTATACACTCGTTTAAAACTTGTCCCTCAAGCATCTTATAGCTGACACTCATCTCCAACTTCAATTTCACTGCTACTCATTGCACAGCACAACTTCTTGTAAGAAAATCCCCTTCACATCTGGGCTGAATGCATTACTGCAAAACGCTACCCTTGAGCAGTGCTGCCTTCTCCCTGCCTCACTTTCCCTGCCATGTCCTCGGAACATTTATATTTACTCAGCTTTCATCAAGGTCTGTCTGACCCTCAAAAGAAAAGCATGGCATGCTCAAGAGCACAGCACTGTTGCTATGATTTATTTTGGGCTGAGTACCAATCTTATTATAGGTAGCTTCATCTCTCTGTTTTTTTGATACCCACTCATGGTAGGGCATGTTATTATTAACAACACCCAAAATCTTCAATTCTCTTTCACAAACCTGAGAATTCATTTCCCCAATACACTTCTCAAACATACCAACATATGGATCTAAATGAACAGAAAAAACCTCTGAAAATGGTCCTGAAGATAACAGATACATTTCAGCCTTGGAGAAGGACCTTGACTGCAGCTTGTCTCCCAGCCTCTACATCATGACCTTGTAATGGTCAACAAAAAGGGCCACAGTTGCTCCTCTGGCCCCACAGCAGGATTAGGCAAGGTAAGAGGGCGAAGCTGCCCCTCGTGTGCATTCCCCTTCCCAAGAGAGCACCAGACTGGAGAGGTATTTGAGCTGTAAGTAAGGGGTCGCCATTCACTGGTTCATCCCAGTGCCATTTGTAAATACAGTTTTGGGGCGAGCTTGTTGAGTCATACTGTAAAAATACCTCAGGCTGCATAATTACATTTTTAGAAAAGTTATTCAGTTGAAATGCACCATTAATGGCTTTAGAGATATTTGTTCCGTAAGTAAAAACAAGAGCCCATGCCCACGCACTCTCAGTCATGCATTTGCAAACACACTGGTGCAAGACACCGACCATCGTTACCACTCCCTGGGACACACACCATACCAGGCACAGGTCTGACACGCCCCAGACTCCCCCTCATTCCCCCACACTCCATCACTCGCTTTTCCTGCTTGTTTCCAAATCCATATGCTGGGTATGTGCTGCCCACACCCACAAGTGAGTGTCAGCCTGGGGGGCATACCATCAGCTGCTGGGAAAGCTTGATGTAAGGCTTGAGGGGCAGTTTCACAGGGGTGCATGGTGCCACACATGGGCTCTGATGTTTCCTACCATGGAAACTGCAGGAATAGCTGCTCTGGCTCAGAAAACAAGGGAAGTGATGTGCAGGGGTGGGTGGCTGGTGGTGGAAAAAGTGTCTAGGTTTGCTTTGAGGCGCTCAGCACCCATTTGCTTGGAACTTAAATCACATTAGCTCAAAGCAAACTGTTCCTAGGAGTAACAGAGTGAGAAAATGCTCTTCCTAGGTGGCTGATCCTCATGGAGTGGTTGGACAGGGAACCCATCTCTTGAGCACAGCCTGAAGGTGGCAGCAGTAACATTTCATACACTTCACTGATCAATATTTTAATCCTGATGGAAGGGATGGGTACGGTGGTCCTGGGAAGAAGGAAACCAAGGACTCTGCCCTTATCCTGCAGCTCCTGCGACCAGTTAAAAAGCAAGCAAGTGGGACTGCCCTTGTTTTGTTAGTCCCTCAACACTCTTTGTAGTATGTCTCCCTTGCTGCCTGGGGCTGCAAGACACTGGACAAAGCGAGGGCAGCACAAGCAGCAGTGCAACCTTATAGACTGTCTTCCTTCCAGCTAGAGAAAGATTCAGTCCAGAAGAGCAAATAAAAGAAGTCCACAGAGGTGATGTGTGCTTTTGATGCTGTATTCAGACCAGGAGGCAGTGAAACTCCTATGGTGATGCTGCACATGGCACCAGAGCTGCGATTGATAATATGAAAAGACCATTTTAATTACATTTATCAGTAGTACTGTTGCCCAGCCTGCACACCAAGGTTGGGACCTCTCCAGCACTGGCTGCACTACGACTGCCAGCAGCACCAACAGCTCTCCCCTGCTGCAGAGGGACCTGACCTGGTGCTCTGCCCCCCTTCCCCTGTCCCATCACTGGTGCACAGAGGTGGGAACAGCACAGAGGTGTTCCGGCCCAGCCAGAACAGCTATCACATATGGAGGTGTGAAAAGCAGGATGCCTTGGATGAGGGGCACTATGAACACCAGCTAGGCAGATTTCTCCATGACCCACCATCTCAGCTTTCCCTTGCTCCTCAGATGCCCTTATGTCAACATAGTTCAGTAATTTTAAAATTACTGAGTAATTAACACTACCAATGAGGAACCAGAGGTGTAACGAGGTGAAAGAACAAGGCATGGAGAAGGGAAAGGATCATGCATCTGTGCTGAAGCTGAAGGCTTCATCCCCTGCACCCTGGTGTCAGCAGGTCACCAGCACAGAGCTCCTCCAACTCGAGTGCCAAGGCGCCGGGAGCCTCCGTGTGCACGTCTGGCGAGAGAGTCGCCGCCGGCGAAAGGAGAATGTCATTGTCTGCTCCGAAATCAGCAGAATTTAAATCCTATTAAATCAATTTATTAGAGCTTAATTTGCATGAAATTAAATTCGGCCCCTATTCAAGGAGCCGTCACTCCCTTAAATCATCATCACTGAACATTTTACATGAGCCTAATTAAAAACTCTGCTGGAGCACTGCCCACGTATTCCCCTTTCACCACTCAACCTGTGCTTGCCAGTTAAGAGTCTCACTGCCCTGGGAGACACCTTGTCCCACCCACACACATGCTCCCCCAGTCACAGAGACACCCCATGTGGCTGTTGGGTGGAGGAAGACCAGAATAAGCCCAGAAGTTCATCACTTCCTTATTCGGATGCCTTGGATGCCGTTGGTTATGGCTGGACGGTCATGCCCATCAAGAGGGAAGAGGAGGTGGACATCACTGATACATCCCCTGAGGGTGATCCTGGTCTCTCAGGAGCACTCACCTCTTTGATCCTCTGCAGCAGAGGGAGCAGCCAGTCCTTATTCACCTCACAGTGACTGTCCAGAAAGGTCAGGACACCTGCTTTTGCCACATCTGCCCCTCGGATTCGGGACCGGATCAGACCTATTCAGGGACACACCACATCAGCTGCTGTCCAGATGGCTGGGTAACACCCCCAGTCTCCTCCAGCATGGTCTCTTGCACTCATGCATTCCCTGGGTTTTGACCTGCCTTAACCTCATTCAGATAAAACATGGCCCAGGTTCATTGCCTCCCTCCTGATGCTGCAAGGTATGCTAACCATTTCCTAAGGTCCCCAAAGCAAATAAACAGTTCCACCAAGATATACGATTTATGCCATTTATGCCAATCCTTAATTTGCACAATTAATTCTGCTGTCACGTTCTGGGGCAAAACATGACTCAAATGCTTCCATGACCCCCTTCAGGTAATAAATCTAACACAGACATAAGGCAGTGGGGAATGCGCCAGGGGAGTTGAGGGTGGGATCACGTCGTGCCAGAATTAAGCTTTTCTTAGACTGTTAACTTTCCCCTGCTGTGCCTCTTTCTGTGTCCCAGTGACCCCCAGATCTCTCTCCTGCCCTGGGGCAACTTGCTGATCTGCAGCTCAATGGGAACACATTTTCTACCAAGGAAAGAGAGTTGGTTTTCAAGGTGCTAAGAGCCCACTTGGCTCATCAGGGCCCTGATGGTGAATTTAGAATCCTTTCGAGATGGCAGTGGATTGCTGCATGCGTTTGTGAGAAATGAAAAAAAGAGGGAGGTCATGAAAAGCAGCTGCACACATGGATTTCACACTAAACTCTTCAGCAAAATCATTGCTCTGTTCCTATTTATGCAGGAGTTAAAAAGCTTTTCAACATTCCTCCTGCATGCAGTTGATGCTCAAGTGAACTGCAGCACAAGAAAAGAGATGGTTTGTTGGCAAACAAGAGGGGATGCAGGTGACTCAAGAAGAGCAGAGCTTCTTTATGAAGGAGAAACAGTGGTAATATGAGGGGCCATAGGGACAGATAAAGAGAGACAGAAGGGTTTCAGGGAGCAGTCACACATCAGGTCCATATAGAAGGTCACCGAGTTTCCTATTAAAATTCCCTAGAGGAACAGAGTCAAGGAACAGCCTCTGAGCAGGAGGGAGAGGGACAGGAGAACAAAGCCTGGAACAATCCAGCATTTGCCAAGGTCACCTTCTACAATACAGATTGTCACTGTATCTCTCTCTGCAACTCGTAAGATCTCATGGGTAGCTACGTGTTCTGCACCAACTCCAAACCTCCCCAGATCCCAGCAGGCCCTGAGGGATACAACTTAAGTGATGTATTATGCAACGTAATCCCTGGGTAAGCATTGTATTAAGCAAGGTAAGGCTGGCTTCCCACATTCTGACTGATTTACAGAGCACCAATACCTGCGGGTCTATATGCTGGAGATAAGCACATATGTACCTCCATCACACAGGACAGAAAGATGAGAAGGAGGTGACGGTCTATGGAGACCTCTCTTACTCTCCTGCCAAAGCAGGTATGTCTCTTACACCATGAGATTTGTTGCCACCCTGTCACCAGACCTGCAGAGCTGAAACCCTCTGCAGAAAGAAACCGCAGTTTCTTTCTCCACTCCTCAGTCTCCTAAACCCAACACCCACCTGGACTCGCACCTTTGATTTGCAGCATGAAAAACTTAGGGTTTTGTTCTCCTAATACCTCAAAGCAGAATTTGAAAGCACAGATGCAGACTATGGGGGGCCGGAAAATGTCTCAAAAGGTTGCCAGCAGCAGCCCAGTAGGACATACATTCATCCTCCATATAGCCTTTCTTAATCTTTCAAATATAATTAATTATTAAAAAAAAAAATCCCACAGAAGCAGCAGGAGCAGATCTCCTCTCTTTTATTAGAGCAAACATCTTTACAAATAAGACCCGGGGCTTTGTTTTGCCTGTTCTAATTTTCTGGCTAATAAGCTACAGCTGAGCCTCACTGGATATCTTAATAGTCCCATCTTTTTCAGCAAGAGAGGGGAGATCCATTTCAAATCCCAGCCCTTTATCACATCCCCTTTTATCATGGTCCTCCTGTCCCCAGGAGCCGCTGACCTCCCTTGTTGGCCACTCCATGGAGGTCTCCCCTGACTCCATCGCTCTCACACCTCCCGAAATCTGGGTATCCCACTTGGGTTGTGGGCAGGTAGCTCTTACCTTCTCGTCGTCCATTCCGCAAGCACTTCACCTTGGGGAGCTGTCCCAACAAGCGGCAGTCATCAGCTTGGGAAACACAAAAGGGAGGACATGTCACCCTCAGCCCTCATGGTGGCTCTGGCCGCAGAAATGGGGAGTCCTAGGGGAGACTGTGAGCAGGGAGTACCCTGTCCTGGACTGGTTGATGGCTTGTTAGGGTGATAGCAGCGCTGGGTCACAACACTCTTACCCCTCAGCTCATGCAGCACAAATCCCGACTGGCAGAGCAGCAGTTTTCACAAAACTAGTGTAAATTCAGCAGACTGACACTGAAAGCAGCTGAGTTATGCTCTAAAATCAGCACAGAAGAGTTGTGGTTGGGGTCAGAATCTGATTTTTTGCATAGTAATGCAAATTACTATTTTTGGTAGCTGCAAAGCAACGCACAAGCTCTTTGATGTGCGTCTGGTTGGCAGGGCAGGAGCTTCCTGTGGTGGCCTGGAGGCTTCAGGGAGGAGAAAGGGACAGTCGAAGTGAGTCCTGTGGAGCAGCTGGGGGCTCCTCGCGCCCTGGGCAGCAGCTCTATGGGGCAGAAAGGCCTGACAAACCACCTACACCTGAGCTAGGGAGGTCCTGCAATCCCACACGCAGTCACTTCCTGCAGCACCAGCATCCATCTTCACCTGGATTTCTCCCAGCAAAGTGGAGGATGTCAGAGCAGGGCCAGAGCTGGGTCTGCAGGCAGGTGCACCCATCACAGCTCCCTCTATCTCTGCACCCTCATGCTGTGACTTCCACAACCCCTTCACGCCTCTCATGGTTCTGCCTCCTTTTCATTGGCGCTATAAAGACACACACACACACACACACACACACACACGTGCCCCATGCCCTCTGCCCAGCCCCTGCACCTGCACCCACCTCCGAGTACTTTCATCTCCTCCAGCAATCTTTGCTGGTAAAGAGACATCACTGTACCCACACCCTGAACAATTCGGGGACAGAGCTGGGACAGGGGAGCAGAAGTGGCAGGGCTTGGCTACGGACCTACAGTGCAATTCTGCCGTGAATTCACATGCAGAAAAGTTGCATCCCAGTGAATAACAAGGCCAGCAGGCAGAGAGAGGTGAGAAATGAGACACAACTGGGCATGAGATAAAAGCACTAATTGTTTGGGGTGGGTTGCAGGGAAAAAACTGACCATGTGTGTATATCGTATTATGCAAATACATGCATTTTATGTAAATGCATGCAGAGCAGATGCCAGCAGGCTCAGACTAACACAGGAAAGAAGATGTCAGAGAGGTGAGAAGTGCTGAGTAGCTGAGGGGCTGCTCTAACTTACACAGGAAACATGCTCCCCTCTGGTGCCCTGGGATGAGTTTAAACCCAACCCTGCTCGTTCTCCATGGCTCATGGCAGTTGGCATGCTGTGACAAGGAAGCTTCATTTCTACAAACCTGTTTCCTTTCAGGAAGGCAAGTACTTTGTTTATTTAGCCAAATACCTGGCATCTACTTCCTCCATCCTTCAAAAATCCTGCTCTGCTGTACTCCAGAGCAGCTCAAGTCCTTGCACCTGCTCCTTTTCCCCATCACAGCCGTCCTGCTGCTTCCCAAACTTGTCTAGTCTGCCTGCCCCGAGTGCTGGAGCTACTCCAAAGCTCATCGTAATCACAGCAACTCCTTCCCCTAGCTTCAGCAACTTCCCAGGGAGGTGTCAATGACAGGAAGTGGGTCTTGTGTGAAATCTATCCCTAATGCTCTCTGAGGCAGCACCTATTTATAACATCCAAGAGCAAAGCCTAGATTCATGTTTTCAAAAACCTGTCTGGCTTTGTTTTCAGGTTTCCTAGTAAACGGCTACATTTTGCAGCTCCTTCAAATGTAAGTGTCACAGACCACTCAGATGGTTTATCATCCTTATTATGCCTGAGAGAGTATTTTTGAGCACTTACTCTCAGCACCTGGATCTTCAATTCGCGCATCGCACTGGGGAAGGTCTTTAGCTGGGGTGGTTTCCTGGGAGTCCCTGGGGCTTCAGCTACCTTCTACTGGAGATCAGACCTAACGATTTAACTTGTGTCATGCTATTAACTGAGAGAATAGCAGGAGGATGTGGGCAGGATGTGTGGTGCACAATGCTATTTATAGTGCCTCTCAGAAATGGGAAACCCACACAGGGAATCCTCATTATATGGGTGAAAAAAAATCAAGAGTTGCTGACCACCTACATAAATGTATACAGAACACATACATAGGTCCAAAGGGTCAGACTGTCATTATTCCCTGCAATTCCAGTGGTATCAACCCAGAACTGCTCCTGGCTGCAGCTGAAAGCCAGATCAGACACACCACAGCTGTGGTAGGATACAACATGTAAGGACTGGATTCATGTCTATTGGGCATAAAAACAATTTGCCGTGTGCTTTTCTTGTATTATTTTCATGAAAAGAGATTTGATCATTTGGAACTTGAATTCTACGTGGCGATGCAAACCCAGCACAGCAGGGTTTGCTCTCCACAGCTACACAGCTTGGAATTTCCTTCCACTTCAGCAAACTCTCTCCCATCTCTGTGTGCATCCCAGTCTCTCACAGGCTCTTTCAGTTTGGCCTCTTGCTTTTAACACAGAAAGGGTCACTTACGATCATCACTGTAGTCATCCACTAGTATGATTTCATGGACGAGGTGCACTGGGGTGCGGTTCAGCACGCTAAAGAATGAAGAGAGAAAATCCATGACAGTGCTTGACCAAATTAACAACCCAGCAAACGGAGTGGAAAAACCTAGGAACTGATCTCTGCCAAAGCACAGAAGACCAGGCTTGGATTTCCAGAAAGGATATACTAGATAAGACCCAGAAATCACTCCCCCCCCACCCTCCCAGTAATCTACAGTGCCAGGCTATCAACTCCCTGTAGCCTGACCTAAGAGCCAAGTGCCCAGTATTCCTGGAAAATACCTGAGATTCACCCTTATCACCGTTGTGAGCAAAAGCAGAGCACCACGTAAAGCCAGGAAAAACCGGCTTTTTAGCAACATGCACATTGCACTGGGATTCCTAACTGGGCTTACAGCAAAGCTGCTGTCACCCCAACACCTCCTCTGGGGCTAATGATACGGTGTCCAGCAACGGCAGGGCCAACACAGAGAAAATTACCCAGCTCAAACCCATCTTTACACAGCTCACAGCTGCGGCAGGACAACTCCTGTTTTTATCCATGAGCTGATTGTATTTCAGAGGCTGCCGAGAGGATAAGAGCAGGGTTGGAGCGCATCTAGTTAATGAAAGAGAGAGGCTGGAGGATGTGGTTCACAGCTCCCTCCATGTGGACAGACACTGTGAAACATGGCTGAAAGCTACAATCTTCCCTTAATTATGCCACCAAGGGTTTTTTTAGTATTATTATTATTATTATTAAAAAGCCTAGACCTGTTCTTTCTCTTTCTCTCACAGCGCAGAGTTTGGCAGAACTATACAAGCTTAAAATCCTGCCCCAGCAAAGGGTCAAGGCTGACTTCTTGAAGCAGAAACCCCAGGACATCCCAAAAGTCTCCTAAGTGCTTGGCTTGGGCTTTGATAATGCCAGTTAGGTTGTACAGGCTTTTCCAGCATTTAAACTTCTTTGTCTTCATCCTGAGTGTGGTTCCTTTTTCACACAGGATTTAAAATCCCCCCAAATTTCAGACCTTCAAAATTCTCACCGGCATTAGAGGGCAGTCACCTGACTAGCTAACAACCTTAAAGCCCCTGATCCCTGCAGATCCTCATTAACAGGTTTTCCCAGTCTCTCAGGCTCCCAAAACTCCAGCAAAAAAAAAAAAAAAGAAAGCCTGGAAGTCTGGAAAAACCACATCCCTGTCCCAGACCCCAGTCACGAGGGCTACAAAGGACAGGATCCCCAGGGGACATGGGTGCTTGGGAGCCACACTGGCAGAAATGCAGAAGGGTCTCACAGCCTCACCCCTGGATATCTGAGGACATTCACCAAAGGGCTGCATTTCTCTGATGAAACCTTCTTCATGAGAACTCACGAGACTACTCCACCCAGGGGGTGGCCCTTGCCAGGTGTCTGCTGCCTGCACTGGTGTACATCCCCCACCCCCCCCTCCAGGTGCTAGAAATACAACCCTCCAGAGAACTGAGCTGGATTTTTTTGGAAGGCGTACAGGATATCCCAAGGTAGATGCTTGAAACAGAATCACAGAATCACAGAATGATTTGGTTTGGAAGAGACCTTAAAGATCATCTAGTTACAACCCCACTGTCATGGGAAGGGATGCCTTCCACTAGACCAGAGTACTCGATGCCCCATTCAATCTGGTCTTGAACACGTCCAGTAAATGGACATCTGCCAGTTCTCTGTGTCTCACCACCCTCCCAGTAAAGAATTTCTTCTATATATAATGGATGCTCCCTGAATGTTGGTTTTGTTTTTTTTTTTCCCTCAGCAGAAATCCTGAAAAAAGGGGGTTTCATATCAGACTGGAGTGGGTAAGCCTGGCACCTCCCTTGTGGAGGTCCTCAAAAATCACTTCCAAGAATGACTTTCCCTGGAAACACAAACTCTTCCAGTTTCAGGATCTTAGCAAAAACCATTATTTTCCCCCACTTCAGATGCCTTGCATGCTAATGTCGGAGTGGGAAGGGAATAAAAGGTGCTGTCCCCTACGCAACAGCAGCTGTGGCCACCTTGACAACACTGTGGCTTGTACCAAGCAGAGTTAGACAACACCGCCTCACCAACATCTGGAGCCTGTTACTGGGAAAAAGTGCCTGAGCGCCCCTCCTCCCGCTGGGGCACACAGAACAATTTAGATGTGCTGTTTCCACCTGTCAAGTGTTTTTTAATTATTATTATTAATAGGTTTGTTATTTTTTAAAAATCCCCACACGCGAGAGCTGAGTTCAGCAAATTACCACAGCCGAGCGTCAGTAGAGAGAGACAGGAGAGCAATATCACGCTCAGTGGAATATTTAACAAGCGCTGATTGCCTGGAAACCTAACTCAGTGAAACCTGCAGGAAAGAAGCAGGCTTGTAAAAGAGCTAGCGAAATAAATAAATAACCCATGGAGAGCAGGAGAGGAGGAGGCAGCGGGCAACTTGAACGTTCAAATCCTGCCTCTGCCTAGTCTCCCCTACGGATTCGGCAGCCCAAAGTGCAATGCAGGGCTTCACTCTAGGGGAAGGCAGACACGAAGGGGCTGATTCTTGCTTTTGCTGGTACCAGCCAGAATAACTCAACCAAAACCGTGGCACTTGGCTGTGTAGACTCAGACCTGGGCTCTAAGTGGTACTCAATGCCTTTGAAGGAATTACCTCCGAGGCAGCTCTTACGGAAGAAAATCCAGCATGAAAATTCCCATGGTGCTGGGTCAGGAAGATGTGTAGCCCCGCCTCTGCTCTGCTGCTCCTTCTGTTCCCAGGTTAAGAAACTTGCTGCCAACCCTATGCCTGGACTTGCCACACCATAGATCATGGAACTTGTCCCCTGAATGCCACCAATGGCCATCTCTGGGATGCAGAGTGCTGACCAGAGGGGGAGGGAAAATTTAGCCAGCATGCTGACCTACAAGGGAAGGGCGTCTCCAAGGACTGCTCTGGCTCCATAAACCCTCATCCTTCCATGGGGTTAATGACAGACACCACTGTGGGTGACACAGCACCCCCTCATCCTGTATCATCACAGCCCTCTCCCATCAAATCTCTTGTGGGCCTCCCTTACCACATGACACTTTTCCAAAACTCCAGTGAACAACTCACCCTCACCCTGGTGAGGGTGGTCCAAAGGCTGGCTCTAAGGGACCTGATGTTCACTGATTTCAGCACTCTTTGAGCTTATTATTGCCCTTACAAGTCTATGCACAGACCCCAGCAAGCCCAAAAACTGCTGCTAAGCTAAAGGCACCTTGATGAAGGCACAAAGAGATCCAAAGGCTGCAATACCACAACCATAGCCCACTTCCCTACTCAGCCAAGAGCAAGTATGCTGGCTTTCCTGCAGAGCCACATCCACATCTCCAACACATTTTCTGCCTGTGCTCTATTAATCACATGATAATGCACACGATGTTGGAAACACAGAAGACTATAAACACCCCTCCTGCAGCAGTCCTTGGGGAGGATGGGAAACGGAGGCACCAAATCCTGCACATTTTCAACGTTATGGGGATTTTTTTTCAGACAGACTACAAAAGCACTTCTAAAAATTCAAAGCCGTTTTTTCTATTACTTTTGCCTCTGCTTAGCTTTGATTTTTTTTTTAATACTTTCTTTTCTTTATGTCTGTGCATGGCTTTTTTTCCCCTTTTATATGGGTAAAATCAGAAGACAATATTGTAGTGCTTTGAAGTTACTCTGCTATTTATAGATTTCTTTCCCTGAAATCAAACATAGGCAGGTATATACTGCATTGATAGGCACATTTTAACAAATGAAACAGCTTTTATGTGCTGTTGAGACAGAGATCACAACATTTTCTCCCTTAAATTGCCACAAGTCCTGTTACTATTGAAATGAAAACTCATGCCTCTAGTCCAGAAAGTGCTTACATTTACTCAATACATTAAGACCAGATTCACTACTGAATTATCTTGTAAAGTCAATGCTGAAATTTTCTTTTATTTCAATGGATTTAGCAGATCTTATGCAGATGTAGCCATGGAGAATTTCACCCTAAATTTTCATCATTAAGGTCCTTCTTCCATCATCCTCAACAATTTGGGATCCCTTTCCACCTACCTGGAGGTGGATCTAGCAATTTCACCTCGAAATAAATACCAGTGCAAAAGTCATCCTGACATATAAGACATGGAAAATGTTCACGTGGAGGAGTTTAGACCTTCTGACCAAAAGTCAGTATATTTTCAGTCATCACCCAGAATACCACTTGCTTTAGAGAGATGGCTGTGGACATTGATCCTCGGGAACTCATGAACCCATTAATTCTCTCCATGGTAACATATTGGGACTTGTTGGGGGAAAAAAAAACCACCTCTGGGAGTATAATAAAGCGTACAAAGGGCTAAGGGTCACAATTATCGAAATCAGACCACGAGTGCGGAGAGAAAATGCCCGCCAAAATGAGCTGCTTCAACAACCCCAAATGGCTAATTATGTGGGAAGAGAGACATCACACCAAGAATAACCATAATGAGCTTTGATTACACTGCGGCTTTTGCATTTTATTCTTTCAAATACCCACCAAGCTCTTTGAAATTCAAGGGTTCTCTTATGTTAACATCAAAAGGTAAAAGCGCATGGAGGGCTGTGTACTCAGTCACCACAAGAGATGATTAGCAAATTAAGAAAAAAAAAAAAAGCCCAGGGTTTAAGGAAAAAGCAGGGGAAAAAAAAGAAATGAAAAAATAGTCAGCACAAAGTGCTAATTATACAGTGTCTGTGCAACACCTGGCTTGTTTTTGCTTCTCTAATCAGGCTCATTTCAGTTATGGCACAGACTCTATGTGGTGCCAACGCTGCCGAAGCAAGGAGGTGCGTGGCTTTGTCACCTCCCTGTCTCAGATGTGTCTGGATGCAGACAAGTTACTGGCATGAGAGGAAGGTGTGAGGTGCTGGCTGCCCAGGACATCACTTCTCTTACTTATAAGCACTGGAAAATAAAAGGCATGATATTCTCTCTGCTAATTAATGACCTAAATATTTGATGTGGTATTCACAGCACTCGCATCGGGACTTTTGCCAAAGGATGTATTTTGGTTTGTCAGCAAGAGGTAAATAATTAAAGTTTCCTTATTCCTGCTCTGAGCTCCCCAGCTGCAAGTTTGAAGAATAAATAAGTAAAAACCACTCAGCAGAGTAAACGGGACTGTCTCCCTCTCTGCCCGGCAGGTCACCCACACAACAGGATTAAGATTCCCTTGCTAAATGCAGGCTAGCATAGGACGGAAAGACAGAAAAGAAGAAATTGCTTGTTTTGTTTTTCTTTTTTAATTATAAATGCCTCTGTACTGCTTAATTTCTCCCTTGCGGCTTCATTCCCATGTTGGGTTTACTTACATGGTCCCATCCCCATACTGTTGGAGACTCTCACCATCTTTAAGGCACTGAGTTTTGGAGCTTGAAGCTGAACCACAGAGGGATAAGGAACTTGTTCAAGGTCATTTGAAAAGTGAGCGGTTGAAACAATCCAATGGTACTTTCTCCCGTCTGCACAGTTTAAAAAAATAGTAAAAAATCTCAAGAGCTGCTTTGCTATTCACCATCTCCTCCTTTCTGGCCTCTTCTCCCCTTTTCTATTTGCCTTTCTCACGACAGCCACCCCCTACTACCTGGGCAGTTGTACGTATTCACAAGTATAGTTGCACCACATGCATTTATAAACGCTGACTACACTATTTGCAGAGATTTGGGCATTCGATTAATTTGGCCTCTTTTTTTTTTCCCCCTGCTTTACTTCCAGCTGGCAAATGGTCAAAGATCATGAAACTTTTAAATGAATTCATTATTCAACACAGTCCACTAGCTTTTCCCAATAGCTCTGACAATGCAAAATGTTCATAAACGAACCGTCCCAAACACTCACAACGTGACTTGCGTAAGGGGTGCTGTGGAGGCCACGTGTTGCTGCCTCTGCTTCACAGGTCAGAGCACTCACATCCCTACCAAGAGCCACATGAAACAAACTGAGCCTGCCACACAGCTCAGCCTCAACACTCAGGAAACATTAAAGCTCTCAAGCACCCAGGAAAATCACAGGAATAGCAAAATCCTTCCTGCTTATCATGTACGTAGTCTCTTCTGCAAGAGGCCATTTCGTCCCCCAATAGATGGTGCCTTTACCAGCATTTCCCTCTGCCACTCCTCTGTGTTTACATGGAGTCCTGCAGGAAGTGTCTCCTTTGCAGGGGTGGTGCCCTATGGTATCACGGCTTTGGACAAGCCAAGCAATGTCCCTTTGCCCTGTTTCTTGCTCCTGCTATGGCAATTAACTGAAAACATTGTTTCTGCAACAAGGCTGGAAAATCCAGTATACCGGAACTCAGAAAACCAGGTTTGCAATTCAAAATCTTCTACCAGCCGCAGCCAGATCTGTTACTCAATCTGTCCACCTGGGTTATCCCAAGAGTGCACCATGGAGTTGTACTAGGGAGAATAGGGCAGAACAAGCGGCCAATTTACTCACCACTAAACTCAAAGCACTTGGCCACAGACTGTCCCAAAAGGCACAAAGCACTGTCAGGAGGACAGAGTTTGTTTTGAATGGCCAAGGAAAATGATCCATGTTGTTACAGCCACTGTGGGATGGAGTTATATGGAAGATCTAATTAAGCTAAGTATTTGCTGAGCAAGAGGGGAAAAAACCCAAGCAGTCAGAAGGCACAGCAAATTAACCTACAGAGGCTAAAGAGGCAGATGAGCTCTCAGCTGGGTTCAAAAAGAGGCAGAGAGGTGGCAATATGTGCCCAGTAGCCACCAGAGAGGAGCAGAACAGGAGCCATGTCACCAGCACAACTTGCCACCAAGGGTTGGTATCCCTAGCATTGGTTGGATGAAAGCAAGTCCCTGTGCACTGCATCCAGGAGGAAAAGAGTAAACCCTGATGTCAAGAGGCCACCTCCAAGCCATGGGGACCAGAAAAAGGAGGGTCAACTGAGGATCTCAGCCCAGGGGGAGGCAGAGAAGATGTGGGACCCAAGGCTGTCATCTCAGTTCCTCACTGCCTGGGCTTGCCTCTGTGGTGCAGCTCAGTGGAATGCTCCGTGGAGCTCTGGCATTGTCTGGAGATCAACCTTAGAGAAACAGGGCTCAGAAGGGGCCCCAGAATTGGGGAAAAACTCTCCAGACAAACAGGAGTGCTGGAATTGCCAGGGCACATAAGCAAGAAGGAGCAGTGCACATGGGCAAAACTGTGGTGGAAATCACACACAGCCAGGTAAGGAAGGCAGTAAAGCCAACTAATCAAGTTAAGCAAACAAAATAAGAGGAACAAGGAAGAAAGTAATTTTATAGCTGGAAATCAGAAACTTCAGAAAACAATAACCTAGAAGAAGGAAAAATTCAATCTATCTGTATTTCTAACCTTACCATCACTGCAATGAACAGTTCTCTAATGAAGCCAGATATGGGGGATCCAGGTATAAGAGCTATATTATGCATCTAACATTTTTCATGTGACAACATTACTCATGATCGTACCTGGCAGGACAGTCAAGTGCTGAGTTATGAGGAGAAATGAGATCAAAGTCCATCCCTGCACTTAAAGCTTCCTATGTCTCAGTGGGGGCCAGAGGACTGCACCTGCCATCTCTGTTACAATTAGTTTTGGAGAATGGCAAATTTATGCAAGGCACTGTAAAGACAAAAGAGAGGGTTCAAGATCAAGGAGGTGGCACAGAGCACCAAGTGTCAGTATCACCCAAAATCCACACATCCTAGAGAGAGAAAGCAGTGACAGATTATTAAGTGTGAAAGAAGGAGATGGGATTGGGCACGAAACCATAAAGCAAAGAAGGAATTCAATTTCAGGACTGTCAAACTCATTTGTGGTCCTGAGTGTGCTCACCTGAGGAAGGATGCTGTTTTCAGAGAAAAGTTCAGCAAGGATGTGATAGTGAACAGGGAATGACTGAAGCCTCCCTGTAACCAGCAACCCCAGTCTGACCAGTACCAATGATAGCAAGCGGTCCCTGGGGATGCCAGGGTTTAAAAGACAAGACTTGCAGCAGGGCACAAATCTTTACAATGTGGACACGAGATGCACCTGCAATACACTTACTATTGGCACAGATCAGAGTGCATCCAAGCTTGCTACAGAGGAACCCACCAGCCTAGACCTGGAGACAGTCCCCTTGAAGGTGCGGTGGGCACACCTCACCAGTTCTTCCCACAAGAGAACTTGCAGATTCAAGGCACATATTGGGATTAAAAACTGATTTGAAAAACCTGCAGTGAAAATGAAGCCTTTAGTCTATTCACTACAGCAAAACACAGCCAAGAACAAACCAACAAATGAAGGAATGGCCACATGCCCAGAGCGCTCCACCGTGTACCCGCAGGAGTACAGAAACCATCTTTAAAAACCTAGTCTGCATGTGTGCCATTAGGGCTTCTCAATTAGCAAGCCTTTCTGGCACTCGATGGCTCACTGGAGAAGCTCAAACAGCACTACCAGAGAAAATATCTGTAGAATGATAGCTGTCCCTAGAGGACTGGGAGAAAATACAGCTGAGCTCTGATACCCAGCTGGATATAAAAGCTCTTATCCCAGACTTTGTCTCATCTGCTAACGCTCCCCAAGTGTTTCCCGTGCTAGACCCTGCAAAGGGGGCACAGCTCCTTACTTTCCTGAGCATCCCACTGTAAAAGCTACTTCTCTAAGACCAACTTTCACTCTAATTTCTCCCGGACATCATTTGAGACCACAGCTGGTCCCATTGCTACAGTGAGTGCAAACAGATTCTGCCTTTATTCGTGAAAACCTCTAGCTCACTCACCACTTTTTAAGAGATCACCAGAGCTCTTACCTCCGAATTGTCCTTAGCAGGGTTGACCTGGCCTCGTTGTGGAAGGTGATGATGACACTGGTTGGTGGGAGGTCCTGGCCATAGTGCAAAGTTGTACACCTGGGGAAGGAGAGAGAAGAAAAGGCCATTCAGGTACTGGAATTCAAAGTGAGAGCTTACTTAATTTACATAGACAGCAGAGCTCATCAGTAAATGGTCCTCCAGCCACTATTACAAATAAATAAATAAGAGCTTTTCTGTCTGAATCTCGAAAATGCCAAGTAAGTCACTGAGGATTAAAGCAGCAAAGAACTTAACTGTCATTGATAGGAAGGGATGAGAAGGGATGCCCAGTGGGCAGCCCTTTCCTCTAACCAACGTTTCCCAGCTAGTACTCTCACACCCACCCAGCTGGTGGCACCAGCAGAGGTAAGAGCATCCTTGCAACTCCAGCTCCAAGCCACCTCACTCCCAACCTCCCAAGGAAGCAATTTCCACCAGCTGGTTGCAAGGTAAGCCAAGTCCTGTTTCTAAATTGATTGTTTCCTTATTCATTCTGCCTTAATGGCATAACCGAACTACAGGGAAGATTGGGATTTAAAACTTTCCAAACCCACAACTGTGACCACGGCCCCTGCTGCCTCCTTCCCAGGAGGAAATGTCACAGACTCAGTAATTACTCTGACCTTTAGCTGATTACATTTGTGACTTTTATAGACCGATACCAACATATTCCTTGCTCAGAAAATCCAGATACACCTCTTACATCTATGATGCTCTTTCCAGGTCTCTATCAGTCCCCGTGATGACACAACAGCAGCAGGAGCCCATACCCAGCCTGAGGAGCCCTCCATCACAGCCATTATGTCCCTTCACATCCACATGCCAATCACCTGCTGCTGTGTCACTGCCCAGGTGCTACCACTACTATCCTCAAATCAAGCAGAAAAAAAGGACTGAGCAACCACTATTAGTTTGCTCCCACCAAGTTCTGGAGCATAGTATCTGCAAGGTGAAGTAAAAACAGATGGGTAAACTAAGCTAGGTATGGAGAGGAGAAAGCAGGTAAGAGTAGCCAGATATTACTGGTTTATGCTATTGAACATGGTTATGTTGCACGTGTGAAGAGCCAAAATGCTTGAGATATTATTTTTGACAACATTTTCCGTCTTCAAAATTTTTAATTTTGAAATTGCATTTCCAATTATCTACAAAGTGAACTAAATTAAAGGAAAAAGCGTGCAACAGGTGAAACAATTCCAAAGATAAGAAAAAAATGATATCTTGAATGGGACAAAATATTTCCAAGATCATGCTATATCACTTGCTGTTTTCTCTCATTGTTTCACTCAAAACCATCTCCAAATCCTGCTTCAACCTGACCAAAAGCAGTTTTCTCATTGTTTTAGCCAGAAATTCACAATCAAGCCAATTCTAATTCTAGGTACGTCCCCAAAGGATGTCAAAGTTGCACAGCTATTCCATATGCAGGAGAAAGTTCAGTAACATTGCCCTGTGTGACAACACCCTCATTCATCAAAATTACATCTCAGGGATGCCGAAAACAGAGGGTTTCTGAATTATGAAACAGCACTGGGTCACGCCCTGAGCTGCTCCCCCGGGTCACTGCAGCCCCGTGCATTATCCAGTAACCAGCTCCAGCTGAGCCTTCCCAAACTGATGTGATGAGAAAGAAGTGGCTGTTCAGCTCCTGTTTTGCCATGCTCAGGCTCAGCTCTCGCTTGCTTTGCGGAGCTCCAGGGACAGACTGTGGCAACTGCCTCTCCCTGTGCTATTTATACACTGTTCCCAGATGCGTGTCCTTCCACCCACTTCCAGCGGGGTTCTGTGGAGCAAACAAGGGAAGCTATTTCTAGAAAAGAATGAAAGAGGGTGGAAAACATAAAGTCATCAATACTTTACTTATGTTATTACAACAGCTAAGGAGCTAATAAATAAAGCAGCAGCGTGTGCGGGCTGTACCACCCACCAGTGGGAGTGCTGGGAATATTGCAACCCTGGCTGAGCGCTCCAGCAGCCCGATGAAGGCTCCTCGTGCGCAACAACTTGCTTCTACAACTCCAGATGTCTGTGCACCAGATTGGCCTCACTAGACAACATGCATCTGGGAAAGGCTGAAATGTCTCATATGAGCACCTCTAGAGCTTAGTCACTGGTGCTGCAACCCATCCCTGGCTTCTGTTTAACAAGACTCATTGCATTCCAAAGGGACCAGTGACTGTGCTGCTGCGGAGCAGGCAGGGACCTGGCAGCACCCCCTGCCTTGCTTTGTCTCTGTGGCCAGTACTACATCACAGCTGGGACTTGCCTCTCCCAGACACCAGTCCGAAAAGTGTTAGGCTGAGCTGCTGCATCTGCCAGCGCCCCTCCTCTGTGGTTCCTTTGTGGCCCTGACTCTGCCCTTGCCCAATATTTTACCCCTGGGCTATTCTTTCAGGAGCCCTCCCAAAGTTTCCTCCAGTTGGTCCCTTTTTTTTTCCTTCCTCCCTCAGTATAACTGCAGTGAAATATCCTGGCTCCCCAGAAGGCAGATTTCAGTTTAAGTTGTTGACTACAAGTGTTTTTTTGGCACTTACTTGGGTAATAAAAACCACAGCTTGGAAAAGCATTAAATCCAGCATGTCCAGAATTATTTTGTGTGACAATTACATCTGGGGTAATTTCAATTTAATACCTCACTGCAAGTGAAAATTGCAGCATGCAGCCCTAAAATTGCTGTAATAATGAAAATAAACCTGCTAAGAGCTGCCTGTGCTACCTCAGGCTGTCGCTGGATAAACGTTTTGTGCCACTTTTGGTATTTCATAGGTCACCCAATTGCCAAAAAAAAAAGAAAAAAAGAAAAAAAAAGAAAAAAAAAAGGAAAAAAAAACCCAAACCACAAAAAAAACCCTCAAACGAGAAACAACACCCATACATTTGCAGAAAACCAATGGAAGTTTGGTTTGGTTCGTTTTAAATTGTTAAAAAAAAAAAAAAAGGTAAAAAAAGAGTAATGACTGCACTGCCTATAGTTGCAGTGTGCTGAAACTCTCTGGCTAAAGTCATGTAAAGTTTGATGCTTTGAAACCTTGCAGCAGGACTGGGGAGCAATCCTAGCACAGCAAGCGCTAGCAGGAATGCTGCTGGCCTGAAGTGCCTGCAATTTGGGCTGCTCCACCAACTCCTAATATCTGGGGGACTGAAAGAAGACAGAAGCCAGGCTGGCCTGCCCTAAACACCTCAGAGAGAGCACCCAGATGGAGAAACAATTCTTATTTCCTCCTGCAAACCCAGAAGTCAAACTTTCATTTTACGGAAGTTTCACTTTTCTGTTTTAAAGTTTTTTCCCCATTAAAAACTGAAATAATTTCAGAACTAGAAAGTTATGAAAAGAGCATTCTGGCTGAAAACACCTTGGAGTCACCCTTGGAAAATCCCAGCCTGAAATAGTTGCTTGTTATACTTCTTTCAGGGTGGACAGAGCAACACATCTCCATGTTCCCAATATGCCACTAACAGCTCAGGAATAAATTACAGAGCGCTTGTTTGTGGGGACAGGAAGCAGACAGACAGGAAGCACTCATTGCAGGAATTGCATATAGTCCCAAACTTTGGACGCTCCAGAATTCCTCACAGGCCTCCGAAGTTCCTTACTAAATATTTTTTCTTGAGTTTCTTTGACCCTTGTGCTCCTGGTGAACGGTGTGGTATCACAGATACATGGCCTATGCACACAGCTGCCCCCGCATCCCTAGAGATCCTCCTGATGGGGCAACACACATGCTCATTCCCAGGGAATTTCAACCCATTTAACATTTAAAATGTCAAACTTAATTCATAGTGCCCCCCACCAAACCAAGGCCCACCTTGCAAACACGGCTACGCAGCACAATGGTAAAGACTAACAGTGTGAACGGAGACGGACCCTGCTCTGCAACCTCTTCCAGTCCTTCACAGGCTCATCCAGAGTGTTTTCTCCTTGACACCTGACATCCCATGCCCACAGAGCTGTGACACGTCTCTCAAACCCCACCTCTTATATTCACCCTCTCCTGTGCCTTGTTAACTTCCTTCAAGAAATCAAGAAATAATTATCATCATTTCACTACCCTAGACTCCTCTGCCAGGCTTCTGCTCATTCTTTTGTTCTACTTCAACGGCCATCACCTGCCAACAACTCCGCTTTGAATTTTTAATGCTTTTCATGAAGTCCAAACTCTCCCTTCAACACAGCTCACCTCTCCCAAAAGACTCTCTGCATATTTATTTCAAACAGCCAGCTGCATCAGACAGAGCTACATCACCCTTCCTGCCTGGCTCCTCTCTTCTCCTTGGAAACACACGGGAGGGCAGTCTCATCGCCACACATCTAAACCAAGGGTATTTGGGGTTTTCTCCACACTGTGCACTCACAGCGACCCAGAGGACAGGGACATGCCATCACAAACATCATGGGTTCACTCCCCACCCTCCGATGGACAAACTACTTTGGGTTTCAGATGACATTCCTCAAGTCTGACTAGCTCTCCAAATTTGATGGCTCTCTTGAGTGAAGACACTTGCAAGAGTCATGTCACAGCAGTGCAGCCACCAAGAGCTGCACGTTAGACTTGGACGCTCCACCAGAAGCAGAGAAGAACTTGGTGGAGAGAGGGGAAAGGCATGAAAAGTCCTTTTAGCTCACAGAAAGAGTGAAATAAATTACACAAATCACAAAGGAAGAGTTCATACTAGTGCCAAAGCTCTTTGCTCACACTCATGCTGAAAGGAGGGCTCTTGCCAGCCTGGTCCTCTGAGGGGACTCAGCCAGTCAGGACTGGAGCAAGCCTGGCCTTGGCCTGGACCAAGTTATTGCTGCCTGGGAGAAGCCTATACAGCTTTGCTCAGGCTACACACCAGCCAGTTAATGACTGCCTTCCAGGGACACTGGTGTCACCCCACACCCAGCTGGAGAGACAGTGGTAGGGAAAGTGGAGGAGAAAGACCAGAGATGCTGAAAACACATCTGTACCTTACCAAAGAGACAGGAGCCAATTCACTACTGGAAATGGATGACAGTTCAGGAAAGAAATATGAGGAGAGCTTTCTTTAATAATTTTTCTTTCTTATCACAAAAA